CCTGGCCGATTCCGTGAATCCGTGATTCACCGGCCTCATCTGGGGCTCGCTGCTCTCGTCTTCATCCTTTTCATCCATTTCTGATCTTGGAAAAACAAAACTGCCCGTTCTGGTCCTTCTAAGGGTTTTCATTCAACCCCCCTTCGCGGGATGCCATGCAAGGGCGGTGTGCAACCTCCGACCCGAGCAGGACCTCAACTCCCCTCCCATCAACTCCTCCTGCCTGTGTCCTGGTCTCTAAGCCCAGGTTCATAAGATCTGCCGGACTCCCCCACCCCCCCCCCTTTTTTTTTTCTTTTTGGGTCACACCCAGCAATGCTCAGGGGTTCCTCCCGGCTATGCACTCAGGAATTAATTCTGGCGGTGCTTGGGGGACCATATGGGATGCCGGGGATCTAACCCCTGTCAGCCCTGTGCAAGGTAAATGCCCTACCCACTGTGCTATCCCTCCAGCCCCAGACCCCTTTTGTCTGGCACCCCCAGCTGCCCCCCTCCTGTTGCCCCCAGGGGATTTACAAGGGTTAAGGTGTTTGCTATGCACCGCTGACTCAGATTTGATCCCTAGTACCATATACGCCCCTTCAATCCTGCACTATCTCTGAGCACAGACCCACAAGTAAGTCCTGAGAACACCCTCTTCCTCCCCACACACCTGACCCCAGGACCCCTACACCTGCTGGGTCCTCCCTTTGGGGGGTGGTCTTCCCTCCACCAGCCCAGGGCTCTGTCCAAGTGCTTTGCTTCCTGCCAAGTGTCATGGAAGGCTGGCTCTCCACCACCACAGCCAAAGCGGAAACTGCCACTCCGTCCCCCCAGGCCACCACAGCCCAACTCCACAGAGCATGTCGCAATGTCTCACCTCCTCACACACCGCAGCACACTACCCACATACAGACCTTTCACGTCACCTCTTTCATCACCTGAGCATCTCATAGTTACTCTGGTATTATTTAATGTCTGTTGAAACCACAAGTTTGGGGTTGGAGCAATAGTACAGCGGGTAGGATGTTTACATTGCATGCGGTAGACCCGGGTTTGAGTCCCAAGCACTGCCAGGAGTAATTCCTGAGTACAGAGCCAGGAATAACCCCTGGCATCACCAGGTGTGACCAAAAAAGAAAAAGAAAAGAAAAAGAAAAACAACAAGTTAAGCAAGGCAAAGAAATAGCAAGTTGGGTTTCTGGTCCTTTCTTCTTTTGAGGGGAGACCTCCCAAGTGGTGGTGTGAGGAGCCCCGGAACCCCCTTCTCTCTAGGTCTCTTGGACCAACCAACCCACTCTTCAGAGCAAGGGCCAGAGAACACGAAGCTGCTTGAACCATCATGATGGCCAGTGCTCAGGGCCCCCATTCAGTTCCGGCGGACCATGTGGTGTCAAGAATCAAACTGGGGTCTGTCACATAAAAAGCAACCTCCTTAAACCCTGTGCTCTTGTTTACAATAGCCAGAATCTGGAAACAACCCGAGTACCCGAGAACAGATAACTGGTTAAAAACCTTTGGTACATCTACACAATGGAATACTATGCAGCCATTAGGAGAGACGAAGTTATGAAATTTGCTTATAAGTGGATGGACATGGAGAGTATCATGCTAAGTGAAATGAGTCAGGAAGAGAGGGACAGACATAGAACGACTGCACTCATTTGCAGAACATAAAATAACATGAGACTTAACATACAAGGACAGTAGACACAAGGGCCAGGAATATTGCCCATATGGGAAGCTTGTCTCATGAGCTGGGGGAGAAGGCAGCTGGAATAGAGAAGGGATCACTAAGTCAATGATGGTTGGAGGGATCGTCGGGATGGGAGCTGTGTGCTGAAAATAGATAAAGGACCAAACCTGATAGCCTCTCAGTATCTGTATTGCAAACCATAATGCCCCTAAGTAGAGAGAGAGTATGGGGGAAATTGTCTGCCGTAGAGGCAGGGGGAAGGTCGGGATGGGGTGGAGGGAATACTGGGGACATTGGTGGTGGAGAATGTGCACTGGTGGAGGGACGGGTGTTTCATGTATGACTGAAACTCAAACATGAAAGCTTTGTAACTGTTTCTCATGGTGGTCAATACAAAAATTAAAACAATAATAATTTTTTAAGAAGTGCTCTCTAGCCTTTAGTCCAGTTTATCATCCCAAACCCTACATTCACCCCTAACACATCTGCGCTTCCCCAAATGTGGGTGGCCTAAGGTCTTTATTTCCCAACTGCTATCGGAGCCAACTTTTCTGCAGAGCACAGACTTTTCTGTAAGCAAACGAAGCAGATTTTTCTCTGTTTTTCCAGGACAGCAAAGTCTTAATGACTCACATCCCACCCACCTCCACCCCCAGGATCATTCCCACAGTCCTTGCTCCCTGAAGGTTCCCCTCAGCTGCAGGAAGTATCCGCTCAAAGCGCGCCAAGTTATGAAAACTCTGGAACTCCCATCTGCTGATTTTCCTTCCCTAAGATAAGGGCCAGGAAAGCAGAAACACTTCTATTCATTAATGTACCTTCAAGTGCCAAGGACAGAGCCATAGAGATAGTAAAGTGGGTAGAACGCTTGCCTTGCACAGGGCAGACCTGGGTTCAATCCCTTGGCACTGCATATGGTCCCAAGCCCCCATCAGAAATGATGGGACGCATCATCAGGAGTGGGCCCCCTGCACCACCAGGCGAGGCCAAAAACAAAGAACAAAAACAGAAAAGTGGCAAGGAGTAAGTGAAAACGCTTTACTGAAAAGTGAGTCCCCTTATCACAGACACACAGCACGCTAGATGCTAAGACGTGGCCACTTGGACTGTGTTATAACGCAATGTGGCTTCAATAAAATAAAAAAGGAGATCGAGTGGCAAAAGAAAAATGAAAATGCAGTTTCTTTGCAGCTGCAGAAATCCCTGTCCCAGTTGTGACTTTGCCGCAGTGTTGCATCCTCTAAGACATTCTGGTGTGGTCGGGGTGCAAAATCGGAAAGTGTTCAGCCTGGCAAAGGCACATTTCTGTGAACACTCCTAAATGTTTACCGGAAAGCCTGAGATATATCAGTAATCGAGTTAAAAAGTGCCCACCTCTAGGCGAATCTTTGGCAAAGGAGATACTCAAGAGGTAGGTGCTTCCTGAGGACTGTAAGGAAAAGTGGGGTTCCCAGGGGAGGGAAAGGAAGAACTGTGGACAGGACAAAGAGCTGAGCATTCAGCCTGCCCAATAAATGAGCAGCGACACCACACCAGGATCCTTCTGGAAACTGCCAGGGTCTTCTCCATTTGACCTGGATCAGGGCCATCTTCTTTGTGCATCTGGGTTACCTGGAAACTCCCACCGTGGAAGCTGATCACACTCATCCCTCCAGGGAAAGTGCATGACCACGTTGTCTTCATTCACACCATGTCACAAGGTAAAGACAGCTACTGGGGGAGAGGGGAGTAAGGAAGGGGGAAGGGAATAAGTGGGTGATTTGAGAACTGAAGTCTAGATGGGGCCGCCAGGAGGGAGGCAAGCCAGCCTCATGGGGTGTGTCTATCTGCACGGAGCTTGTCAGATCAGAGGGTCGCTGAAAGGGAAACGAGGGGCTAGAGAGACAGCACAGCGGGTAGGGCGTTTGCCTTGCATACGGCCGACCCGGGTTTAATCCCCAGCATCCCATATGGTCCCCCGAGCACCGCCAGGAGTAATTCCTGAGTGCAGAGCCAGGAGTTAACGCCTGAGCATCACAGGGTGCGACGACCCCCCCCCCCCCAAAAAAAGGAAGCCAGACCTAGCCCAAAGGCCTGAGACACGCATGTGAGGCTCTGGTTCCATTGCAGGCACCACGTGGTCTCCCCAGCACAGACAGGAGCAACCTCTAGCACTGCCAGCTGTAGCCCCCCCCAGATACAAAACACCAAAACCTTGTTCTTGGAAAGAAATAAAAGAGGGAGAAACTTGCACTTCTTTCCCTCACAACTGTTCACATGACCCAGTTTTCAAGACCCTAAAACCAACAGGCCCCTTGACCATGACTGGTCAGTTGTGGGAGGGCTCAGTTTGCTCTGAGCCACGTGACCTGGGGGTGTGACCACCAACACCTAATGTTGCTACCTGGGAATGTTTCCAACCTGCCTGTACGAGGTAGAAAGTTGGGTGCAACCAAGCCCCTTCATAAGGTAACTGGTTCACTAAACTATGTGAACTAAACTATGTAGCTGATTTGTAGTTGATCGCTACTGCCATCTTAGGGAAAGAAAAGCTATTACAAGTTAACTAACAAGGGAAATAGGATTTTTCGATTTTTCTGCCCCCTTTCTATTGCTCGTAACTTCCCGTTGCAGAATACCATGAAATTCTCACTTTTTTTCGCAATTGTTCAAGCAAGACTCCAGCAGAATAGAAACTTTTAAAGCTAAGCTTTGGTATTAGAAGTGAAATTCATTACTATACAGTAAATGCAGGTGATATTTTAAACTATTTCAATTTCCTGAGGCAGTCGCTATGCTTGGAATTACCAAAATATATTCTGTGGGACAGAAAGAAAGTTCTCAAAGGGGAAAAAATTTTTTTCAGCACTTGTGTTGCCATGATCAAAACTTCGTTTGGATATTCATTACTGTAGGCTGCTCAGGCATGCAGAGTTAATGGCTGTGCTCAAATACACAGAAATCCAATCATCCATCAGGCCACTCCGTTAGCAGGGAACAGCTACAAATACTCTATGCGAGTACTTTACCCTACTCTGAAAATACAATCAAGAGGTAGTGCTTTAAGGCTACTTTTGTTATTTCAAGTGTCTATATCTAGAACAAAGGTCCTGTTTTTCTTTTTCTTTTCTTTTTTCACAAAAGGGTGTATATGTTGATCGCTACTGCCATCTTAGGGAAAGAAAAGCTATTACAAGTTAACTAACAAGGGAAATAGGATTTTTCGATTTTCTGCCCCCTTTCTATTGCTCGTAACTTCCCGTTGCAGAATACCATGAAATTCTCACTTTTTTTTCGCAATTGTTCAAGCAGGACTCCAGCAGAATAGAAACTTTTAAAGCTAAGCTTTGGTATTAGAAGTGAAATTTATTACTATACGGTAAATACAGGTGATATTTTTAAAAATGCTGGTTAAAATTATAGTGTCTGTATCTTGTTTCTCATATAAATAATGGGAGTCACAACGGAAACAATTAATTCTACAGGCACACAAGGGACAATATAAAAAGACAATCACAGGGCCAGAGTGACAGTACATCGGGAGGGTGTTTGCCTTGTCTGTGGCCGACCCAATTTCAATCTCCGGCATCCCATATGGTCCTCCAAGCCCACCAGGAGTGATCCCTGAGTGCAGAGCCAGGAGTAACCCCTGAGCACTGCCAGCTGTGACCCAAAAAGCAAACAAACAAAAATCCCAAATCACAAACACAGCCTCAAGATAACTTTGCACATTCTCCTTTTAGGCCTCTGTCTGCTGGTTCCTGGTCACCCCCCGAGTCTGCCCATTACCTAGCTCACCAACCTTCCAACTTCTGTGTTCCCAACTGGTGCCAGGAATAACGCTCACATCACTGAAAAATGTTTGACTCTGGGGTTTCCCGTATTTCCTTCTCAATAGGGGCTGATCAAAAGTCAAGCCAAAAACAAAAAACAAAAAAACCAAAGCTGTAACAGAAGACTCGTTGCTATCTCTTTTCCCACAGATTCATTTAAGCAGATAAAAAGTTACAAATGTATTTTGAAAAATAATTTTTAAAAGTCCGATAGGGCAAGAAAGACGCTGAAGACATCATCAACACGGCAAGAAAAACCCAGCAGCTCAACCTCGGCTCACTTAGCTCTGCCGCCGAAGAAGTGGCTGCAGCCAGTAGACACCTGGAGTGTGTGTGGAAGGAGAGAGGGGCTGGCGGGAGGGTCAGATGAAGACCCAGCCACTGGCAGAACCTCTGTCCTGCCCTAGTCTGCACCCCCCGCCCCCAGGCCCCTGCAGCATACCGGGGTGTTCAGGACCCTCACCCCAACCCTGGGTAAATAACAACCCTGCCTGTGTGAAGGTATCGCTGTTGACCTCCTAGGAAGATGGAACGACAGTGTGAGGCTGAAACGGGGTGTGGCCGGACCTTACCACCCGTGGCTGGACCCTACCACATGTGTTTTAAACCTATGGTGTGTGGCCAGAACCTACCGCATGTGGTCGGACCCTATGGCATGTGTCTCGAACCTACAGTGTGTAGCCAGAACCACGTGTTCCTGGACCCTACCACATGTGGCCGGACCCTACAGTGTGTGCCTAGACCCTGTGTGGCCACTCTACGGCCACACAGTAGCTGGACCCTGTGGTGTGTATACGGGCCCTACCATGTGTGGCCAGACCCTGCAGCATGTCTAGACCCTACCACATGTGCCAGACCCTATGGCATGTGTCTGGAACCTCCCACATGTGCATGGCCGTCTCACACTGACAGAGGAGTGAGGGGACAGGAGAGGCAGCTTTGACAAATGGGCCTCCAAGGCACAAGAGGCTGAGCGGTCCAGCCCTGGGGAAGGGCAGGAGGCGGGAGTAACATCCGTGGCGCGTCGGCTCTGCCCAGCTCAGGATGTGCTAGCCCCTCACTCCGTGTCTCCTCCGAAGGCTCTGAGGCTAGTGGGGGGCCCTGGGAGGCCGTGTTTCCCAAAAACTCCTGGGAGCGAGGTGGCCGGTCTCGGTCTGTGGTCCACACACACAGCGAGAGTCGGGGTCACCAGTCAGACAGAGCCGCTGGGGTCTTTCAGAGCCACAAGCATCCTTGGAAGTCCCAGCAGGACTGCGACCCGTCCGGTGGCAGTGGTGGCCTTTGAGGTCCTGCGTGGAGCCTGGATGAGCCAGTGGACAGGTGTGCGCATGTGTTATCCCAGTGCTGGGCCAGCGAGTGACACCCCAACACGTCACAATCTCCCGCCTGCATGCCGGGACACTGTTGGAGGTGAGGTGCCGCATCTTTTTCTCCCACGGTCCTCTTTGTCGTGAGCGTGATATAAAGGTATAAAAGAACCAGCATATTAAATGTCGTAGAAAAATGCCACCGCTGCGCAGACAAATACACCTCTGACATGAACGCTAAGACATTAAAAAGCATTTTGTCCAAATAAAATGCTACCACTGCTCCCAGCTGAAGTCATCTTCTCTCCCAAAGATGAGGAAGAAACCTTGGATCGTCAGGAAGATGACGGCATTGCCCGCGAGCACCAGGCCACAGGCGCCCCACTTGATCTGGAACACAAGAAGAGAGAGAGAGAGAAAATGAAGTCTTCACCGGCCCCACTTGGGACTCTGTGGATCTGTCACTTTCTGCACTCCAAACAGCCAAGAAAACATTGCAAAGGGCTGCTAAAAGGCCGAATAAACAAACAGGCGGGAGGTATTGAACTATTCTGCAATTAGCCTAATTCTACCATGATGCTTGTGAATTAATTCTAGTATAACCCTTAACTTTCCCCCCATGAGACATATTTCTCTCCTTAAGTTTCAGCAGACAATGATTGCCTGAAGTAAGATATACGTGCGGCAGGATGAAAAATGGTCCAATTACAGCCCTGGGTCCAGAAAGGGCTTTAGGCATTACCATCTTTCATGCAAACAGGAGCGGAGGCATCATGGGTCACTGTATTTTCAATGCAAGACAGACAGAAGGACAGAAGCTTGACGTTCTCATTTTTCTGTGCTTTGTGGAGGAGTAACAAGACAAGGGGATGGCGGGGAGCAAATGTGGGCAAGCCCTCAGGCCTGGGTTACAGGCCTGAAATGAGAACACCAAAAAAAGGGGGACAGTGGGTGTGGGGCAGGGCAGAGGAGGGCAGCTGGAGGTATCACAGAGGCACTGGTCATTGGTCTTGGGCACTTTGATGGGTAGCTAGGAGGTGACTTTATATATCAAAAACCATGAAGCATTTTTTAGCATGAGACCCAAACTCCAACAATTAAATTTCACAACAGTTGAGAGTATTGGGGCTAGCGAGACAGGACAGCAAGTAAGATGTTTGCCTTGAACGTACCCGACTTGGGTTTGATCCCCAGCACCCCATATGGTCTCCTGAGCACCATGAGGAGTAATCCCCCGAGTGTAGAACCAGGAGTAAATCTGGAGCATCACTAGGTATGATCCAAAACCCAAAAATTTGAGTTTGCTAAGGAGGGGGGGTGATGATGGTGGGGGGGATCTTAGGACACTGGTGGGGGGCCATTGGCACGAAGGGAGAGTGTGGAGCTGGAACAATGTACTCGTGAAACTGCATATTAACAGTTTTGGGAATGTAAATAAAAACTTTAGTTAATTTAAAAAGAAGGTAGTTTTCAGAAAAGAGAAAATTAAGGGAGGGAGCAAGGAAGGAAGGAAGAAAAGAAGGAAAAGAGAGGAGGACTGACTTCTAATAATAATCACTGTCACTGTATCACTGTCATCCCATTGTTCGTCGATTTACTCGAGCGGGCGCCAGTAACATCTCTATTCCTCCCAGGCCAAAGACAATAATAATCTGCATTATTTAATACATGACAGCAGCTTTTCCAGCAAGGTGGATTGGCTTTACAGAGCCACAGCTGGGGAAGAGAGCGCCCTCTGGTGGGCATTTTTGGCCAGGAATTTAAAAAACATCAATGATGTGATACAGGGCCCGAGAGACAACACAGGGGTTAAGGCTCTTGCTTTTCATGCAGGTGACCCTACTTCAATCTGAGCGTCACTGGAGAAGTCCCTGAGTAACACTGGGTCTGGCCCAAAAAACAGGGGTGGGGGGGGGTGCTAGAAAATGATGCAGTTACCGAAAGGGAGAAGCAGCAATCTTTCGGGTTCTATTTTTTGTTTGGAGTCACTCCCAGTAGGGTTCAGGGGCTATTTCTGGCTCTGTGCTCAGGAGTGACGCCCTGACAATGCTCAGAGAGGACAACCATAGGTGGTTCTGGGGACCCCAACCACGGGTCAGCAGGATGCCTTCACCCCTGCACTGTCTCTCTGGCCTGGACACAGCAACCTTGACAGGAAAACTCAATTAGTCTCGGGCACAAGAATCAGATGATGACAACTGTGCACTGAGGCCCCTGCATGGACACCAGGGAGAAGGTTCCAAGGGGCTGCGCAGTCCCCTCGCAGGGTCTGCTGAGACCCCTGGGCACTGGGGCGGGGGGCCCAATATCTAGAGTTCAAAGCCCTCCTAGTCAGGCTGCATCAACCCTTCAAGTCTTAATCGCAACCACGCCCTTTCACATCTGGGGGTCAGCGAGCACTGTCTGATGGGCAAGCACCTGATAAATATTCTCCGGGGGTCACTGAATACTACCAGAATGCTGTAGGGGCACCAAGGAGAGAAAATGCAAACTGTGAACCAAACGCTGTTTATCTGAGAGGCTCTTTCCAATCCCAGTTCAATTCTCTCTCTTCTTGGTGCTCTCACGGCGTTCCGGTCATATTCAGTGATTAAACAGGACCTTTATGGGACCTTTCCCTGTCAAACGAAGTGGAAGAGCTGGTCTCTGGTGCTCCTTCTTAGGGTGTCAACACAGCAGTTACAGGGTATCTGCTGGATGAACACGAGACTCGCGCTTCACCGATGGGTAAAAGTGCTCCACCATGAGGGCTGGGGACAGCAGAATGGGCCAGGTACTTGCCTGCATGGGCTCAATCTGGGTTTAAATCCTCCACCGAGTCCAGCCAAATGTGACCCCTGAGCACAGAGCCCGGGATAAGCCCTGAGCACTGCTGGGTGTGGCCAGAAAACAACAACGAATGTGTCTCCTTAAGCTGAAAAGGTATGTTGGGGACAGGGAAGGAAGCCAAGAGCATGGGAGACTGCGACCATCACAGAACTGAACCCAGTCAGGATGTTTTAGATGCACAAGTTGTTTTAATCCATGAGGCTGCCAAGCTATTCACTGAATCTTCCAGCCGCTCATAACTGCCTGCTGAATGGGGCCGTGATCCTATTTGCAGGAGAACTTGATGTGCTGTTCTTATTGGAACTAGAGCGGCCTTGCATGACAATCTCTCTGGCTTTCCCTAAGAGGTAAGAATTTAAGAAAATAACCCAGAAAATAGCTTCAGGTAGAAAACGGCAGAAATTATATGGTGTCTGGCTAAGAGTTGCAAGAGGAACAAAGGAAGACTGAATGAAAGACATGGCCAAGGTAAGGACGGGTGGATCGAAACTAGGGGAACAGGCCCAGGAGAAGCTGATGGGCCCATGTGTTTGCGGGGACGAGAGCCCAGGACTCAATCCCTGGCACCAGTAGGTCCCAGGAGCACTGCCAGGAGCCATCCCTGAGCTCAGAGAAGGCCCTGAGCACCACAAGGTATAGCCCAAACCCTCCCAGCAAAGTCAATACCATAAGAAAATTAAGTGGAGGGAACAAGAACACTGCAAACATGCCTACGTGTATTAAAACCCGAGCACTGGAAATGAAGCTGAGGGCTCTTGACATCAGCGACCATCGGTGGAAAACAAGAGTTCGGGACTTACCACGGCCACCCGGGCAAGAATGATGGGAAATCCAAAGGCAGAAACAACGATCCCTGTCGTGAAGAAATAGGCCAGTTCCCGACAGGCGCTGCTGGTGGCGTCAGAGTCGTACGTGGCTCTTTTGGCGATGAAGTACGGAATGGGGGAGATGGCGTGGAACACCAGGACGAATAGTGGCCAGTAAACACTGCAACGGGACCCAGAAGAGAGAACACACACACACACACACACACACACACACACACACACACACACACACACACACGCTGTTTCAGTTACTGTTTCAAATGGCCACAGCAACAGTTTTTCATCTGATGGCATTATGGCATTAGAGGACTTCTACCCGGGAATATATAGGAAATAGTCAAAATTACAAATCGCAAGTCCACAGACATGGAGAGCCGACAGGGGGGCTAACTCCATCGTACGTGACCTGCCACATTTGTTACCGCTTCTGCAGTGCCAGGGGTTGCACCCAGAGCCCCACCCCTGCAAGCATGTGGTCTCACCAGGAATCACGCCCCTGGCTCTACAGTCAGACCTGGGCCAGAAATCTGTGTTGTCTGTAGGATACAGTATTGGGCCATGGACATTATAATTCCATTAAGATCTATTTTTTGGGGGGGGAGGTGAGGGGCACCTTCCCTTCCACGCAGTCCTCAGGAGGCTCTTGGCCAACTGGGCCATCAGTTCAGCAGGATGGCGTGAGGACTCGACTCTGGCGCTGCAGTGCTGGGGAGGCCCAGGTCCCCCCAAAGGTGCTAGTGTCCTCCGGGAATGCATCTGGGAAGGCTCTGGGACCACGCGGTGCCAGGAACCGAAGCGGGTATGGCACATGCCAGGCGCAAATTCTCAAAGCTGGACTGTCTCCCGGGCTCCAGGAAGACATTCTGGGTGCTCACATTCCAGAATCTTCAGTAAAACCTGATTCCTCGCTGTGGCCTAGGAAGCCTGCCGGGCACGGAGATCGCCCTCATCTTCCTCTCCTTCTGCGCCGTCTCCCAAAAGACGCCTTTTAGGTCTCCTCCGAGAAGCAGCACTTCCGCACCCTCCATTTCCAACACCCATCACCCCCTGCCCAGCACCCCCTAAACTTTCTGCCTGGCACCTATTCCCCAGGGTTTGGAGGTGTCTTGGTCAATCACTATAACTGAGGTGCTCCGTTAGTATAGATTTTGAGAGGGAAGGCACAATGACAAACATGCTCACTAGTTTACAGAAGAAAACACAACTTTAGACCAATTTTATGATCGGAAGTGAAACTAACATTGAACTGTAAACTATTTTCTTCCCAAACACCACTGGTTCGTTTATTAAAAGCCGCCCTTCTACCTTCTGATTCCACCGTCTCACGGAAACAACGCAAAGGTCTTGCGCTCTGTAAGCCAGCCCCGTCTCCCGATGGGGCAGAGCAGAGCCCCTGGTCTCTGCAGTCACCCTTCCCACAATCCCCCCAACGCCGGGCTCCCTGGTCACCCAGCCCTGCTGGACAGGAGCCGCGCCCGGTGACTTCTCATTTCCACCACCCGGCCCGGGAGGCAGGTGGGCACGGAGGAGAGTCTCCTTCATCAAGGCCACTCCGGGTGCCAACACTGAGCTCGGCTGCCAGATCTGAAATGCCAGAGGCTGGCGCACACCTCGGGGTCACTGAGTCACACTGTGGGAGGGGCTGGAGAGCGTCTCTAGCTCCGCGCCCCCCCCAGTCAAGCAGGGAACAGATGCAGATGCTGGCCTGCTGTGGGAGAGCTGTAATGAGACCCCCGAGGGGTCCCAGCTGAGCACTCTGAATTCCTCCCCAAATACACTGGCAGAAGTTTTCTGAGCAGCAGCCCAAGAGATGCCATGCGCCCACACAGGAAACCGCTGACAGCCGTCTACAAGGGGGACAGAGCGGCAACCTTGTGGAGGGATAAAACGTCAACATGAAGTGCATGGAATTCTGCACACTTCCTCGAAGATGGGAGGTGCTAGAGGCGGTGTGAATCTTAGTGCTCATCGATACTTATAAATAAGACTTCTTGGTTGGGGCCCCAGTGGGTGGTGCTCAGGGCCTACTCCTGAAGGTGCTCCAGGGACCAAATCCAGTCAGCTATGTGCAGGGCAAGCACCATAATCCCTGTGTGCTCTCTCTGGCCCTTACTTTTTTTTTTTTTTTTTTTTTTTTTGCTTTTTGGGTCACACCTAGCCATGCTCAGGGGTTACTCCTCTCCTGGCCCTGCACTCAGGAATTACTCTTGGCGGTGCTTGGGGGACCATATGGGATGCCAGGGATTGAACTCCAGTCGACCACGTGCAAGGCAAATGCCCTACCCACTGTACTATTGCTCCAGCCCCCTCTGGCCCTTAGTTTAAATCATATAAATATACTATTCAGTAAATATGGGGGATCAGGGTTGGTTTTTCTGTAACGGGGAAAAGGAAATGCTTTAGGCTTTGCAACCCTTAAGGCTTTCCTACCCGCTATCCCAAAGCAGAACGCTCCTACTTGGGACGATTTAGGAGGTTCGAGAATATGGCCAAATCATTCCATATTCATGAACGGTAACAGCATTCCGAAGCCCTGGAATAACCTCCTGAATCCCATCCAGTGAAAAGGTCCCTGCAGTGGCAAGAGCGGCCAAGTCCCCCATCCAAGGAGCCAATGGGGGTAGGGCGGGGGGTGGGAGCGACAGTACAACGGGGAGGGCGTCTGCCTTGCAGCTGACCTGGGTTCGATCCCCACATCCCACAGGTCCCCCGAGCACTGCCAGGATTAACTCCTGAGTTCAGAGCTAGGAAAACCCCTGAGCGTCACTGGTTGGGCCCACTCCCTAAAAAAAAAACAACAACAACAACAACAACAAAAACACCAAACAAACAAACCGAGGAGCCAAAGGGATACACCAACAAAACTTGAATTACAAAAGTAGCTGCTCAGCCTGGAGCTCAAAACATTTTGCTTTTTTCTAGTAGCAGGTGCAGGCCGGTGTCTCACCTGACACAGTCACCAACTGAAGGTTTCCAGGAGGTGACTTCAGGTGTGGAGAGGCAGGATAGGAGCCAAGCAGGGATTCAAGCAACCAGCCCCCCTGGGGGAGTGTTCCCTGTGAGAAAGCACTGGGCACAGGTTAAGTGGCTGCTCATGACTGGGCCCTCCTGGGTTCAGACCCATCCCGCGCCAGCTGGCCAGGCGGGCCGAGAGATCTGAAATCACCAGCGTCCTAGCTACCTGCCCCCGGTGGTCTCTGCCACCCCTCCCCTGGCTAGCCAGTCTCCAGGGAGTCAGTCTCGTCCCACCCCCATGCCAAGTCCCGATGTTGATTCCAACCTGCATCTCCCACCTTCCTTTCTTTCCACACAAACCAGCTCCCTTCTGCTGCTCAGGCTCTCACCCACATCTGGACCATAGCCCTCTCAAACCCAACACCCACCCACCCCCAAACCTACACGCCTGCTCCAGTGCTGGCCGGAAGCGATCCCCCTCTCTGCGCGCTGAGGAACTGAGTCTACCCAAGAGAACTGGGTTCTGCCTCTCCCCACTCCATTCCCTAGTGTCCACAACGGGCCACGTGTGGTTTCCAGATGCCTCCAGTCCTGTGGCCTTATTCTCGCCCCCTCTTTGCTCACTGGCCCCTTTCGAGGCTGGCACGAGGATGCACCCTACCAACGGCTGCAGAATCAAAGTCGCTCGGGGACTGGCCCCCCACCAGGAATGCCTTTGCCAGCTCGAGAGCCGGCCTAACTCTCCCAGCTCCCCAAGTCTCGGCACTAAAACACTGACCAGGCCAGAGACGGCAGCTCGGCGGTGAGGGGCACCCAGACTTGAGTTCGAATCCCAGTGCCACATACTCCTCAGTCAGGGTAGCCTTGGGGGGGTCCCAAGCACTTCCGGGGCCCCATCCTCAGGACCGAATATGGAACCAGTCAATGCAGTTGGCTGAGTACTGCCGAGAGTGGCCCTGGGTTCCCTGAACACTGTGGGGGAGGCCCCCCCAAACCCAAAACCCAAATAACCCCGTTCTTCCGGGTAGACTTTGGGCCCCTTGCAGTTCTGTGGCCCTTCCCGACTCTCACTGGACTCACACACCGAGGAGGGGGCTCTGGGAGGCGGGTGCCCAGCATCCTGGCACCCCAGCTGGTCCAGAGCTGGGATTCAACAGGCGCAGATATCTGCCCAGTGAAGGAATTGTGGCTGGTGTTTCGGGATCCGATAACTCACCGGTGAGTGTTTGGTGCTCCTCGAGAAGCCACGCCCCATTCATAGGCACTTTGAAAGTGACAAAGAGACAAAAGAGGAGTTGCCGACTCACCCATAGTCCTCGAGGGCGCATCCCAGCATCAGAAAGGTCAGTCCGATGGCCCCACTGAAGGATAACGCCACCAGAGCTGCAGAAAGCAAAGCCCAGGGTTAAGGCTCTGGGGTTAGTGGGGAAAGAGGAAAGGCGGGATGGGGGGTGGCGACTAATGCTGATCTCAAGGCTGATCTTTCCTTGGTGGGGTGGGGGGATGATGAAATGGTCAGAGTCACACGCAGTGCCCATTACACAACCTTGTGACTATACTAGAAAGATAACGTCACGGGAGTGATGCTTTGTAAGGATCAATCATGGGGCCGCAGAGAGACCGGCAGCTAGGGTGCTGGCCTCACACACTGCCGACCCAGGTTCACTCCTGTAGGGTCCTCCGTGCACCACCAGGACTGATCCCTGAGCACAGAGCCAGGAGTAACCCCCAAGCACCCGTGGGCATGACTCCCAGACAAAACGAATGAACAAACCAAAGGCAATCCTCTCCTTCAATATCTTGCAACCGAACCAAATTTCACTCAGCCCCTCTGCACTAGACTGAAGGACTATGGCACCCATCCTGGCTCCTGAGTCCTGGGCTAAATCCATGATGGCCCCATGAAGTGGGGTCACTAGCAAGGCGATCAGATGAACAGGGCAGGGGGTCCCAAGAGCAGGACCAGGCCCAGGGTGTCGAGCCCTTACCAGATGGGACCCACAGGGACCTTCATGTGGGACTTGCAGTCCGAGCTCAGAAACCTATCGCTGTCTGGGCCGCAGGGCTCGTGGCGGCCCACGCTGCCCTCCATAGCCCTCCAAGGTGCCCTCCGAAGGCCCTGATCACTTGTCACACAGGACGGGGGGGGGGGGGCAGGACGGCAGGGGTGTTCCAATCCCCACTCTACTCAGTTTAGACACTAGCCTCTCAATTCCCCCCAACACCCCCCCCCATATTCAAGGCCCCCAGGGTGCTCTTCTGGCAGCATGGAGGTGTGATCCCTGTCAGCCCTCCAATGGCATCACCCTCACTGATCCCCCACTTCTATCAGGACACAGGCCTTATGGATCAATGCTTCAAGGCTGGTCTCCACAGCATGCTGCCACCGCCCCCCAGGCCTGACTGTTCTCGCCTGGCCTGTCTACACAGCCTGCTGCTCCTGCCCGAGAAAGCCTTCCAGGTCGCTTGGGGCCAGTTCTCTCCCTCTCTGGCACTCTGGCACCGGGTGAGGTCATCCCACCCATATTCGTTTCTGACAAGGCCACAAACTCGGGGTGTGCATGGGAGTGGGGGGGCGGGTGCTTAGGACAATGAATTTCTCTTCTATGTTCAGTGGCTGGATACCCGCACTACAGATGCCGGGAGGTCAGGCTTCTTTGGAAGGAGCTCAGGTTGCAATTTTTCACCTGGGTCCGCGGAACGCTGCTAGACCACAGACATTCCCTACTCATCAGCAAGCAAAGGATCACAGCTAAGTGACCCTGGTGACAAGCACAGTGGAAAAAGGGCTAAGGCAAGGGTCTAAGGCAAGGGTGGGGAGCGTCCAGTCGGGTCACCCTAGGGAACCCGGGAATCACGTGTGTTGCCTGTATTGTACCGCCTGAGAACAAGACTATAAATAGCCTTTTGGCAGGATAAAGATCCCCACCCCGGGGACAGGAAGAGCCTTGCTCTGCCAATGCCTGGTGCAGGCTGGTAGTTGGCTGCTCCCAGGCTTAAGTGTGGGCACTCCCATTCCTTCCTCCATCCCACTATTCATGACTGGGTTCCAATTTCCCTTTCTCATCAGGTGACCCCAGTCCCTGGATTAGGGCTCCCTCTAGCCTAATCTCATCCTAAACTTGGTTGCAACTGCAAAGATCACCTTTTCCAAGTAGGGTCCTATGTACTGTCAGAACTTAAATCACGGTACTGGAGCTATAGTACAGAGGTTAGGGCATAAGGCCAACCTGGGTTCGATTCCCAGCATCCCATATGGTCCCCTGAGCACCACCAGGAGTAATTCCTGAGTGCAAAGTCAGGAGTAACCCCTGTGCATCGCCGGGTGTGACCCAAAAAGAAAAAAAAAAAAAAAAGAACTCAAATTGTCTACTTGTGGGGGCTGGCGGGAGGTGGGGAGGGGGGGGGTCATACCTTTGTGCTCCCGCTGGATCCATACCACAGACACTGAAACAGTAACATATTTATGGATCTATAACCCAACAGTAACTTCCCATTTATCCTTTCACCCCAAGGATAAAGGCATTCAAGAATGCCACAATAAAAGTTCAAAGATCTGCAAATGCTTCCTTCTTTTTGTCCCTTTACACTTCATAGCCTTTCCTTTTAATCCAGCAGTTTTGCACATGCTCACATCAACGCTATCATGATTTGATCATTCCTAGGGGAGTATTCAAATGCAACTTGTCCTGTTTCCTGAATTGGTTCCAACTGGATCTACTCCGCAGGGGGCACCGTCCAAGGAAGTCAGGTCTACTAAAGTGATGTCAAATATTAAAAAAAAAAAAGTCAACCAGGAATGTTTCTAAAATGTGATTACTGCTAACAGCCCAAGCACATGAAATTCACATTGCAGACCCCACCCCCATGCAAACACATGTATGCATACATTTATAGTCTGTGCTGGTTAATTGAGGAGGGGCGGCTTAAAAGAAGATAAAGGACCGCTTGTGTGTGTGTGTTTTTGGGGGGGGGGTGACTAGAAAGATAGTACTGCCAGGTTCAACCCCCAAAACAACACAAAAAGACCAAGATGGGAACAAGTGACGGTCAAAAGTCCAGCATCTAACGGCTTCCAACGAGAATTTCAGGAGCCCCGCGCTCTCCCACCGCCCATGCCTCTGGAAGTGCGCAGATAAGGGAAGGGTGTTCGTGGTCCCCTTTTATCACGCTCCGTTCCGAGCCACTGATCGCACCGACGCTTTGCGCGCAGATAAACTGCGGGACCAGCCCGCGCCCGCGCCCGCGCCCACACCCACACCCGCCCGCACCGACCTGCCCCGCGCGCGCGTCAGAACCCCCGGGAACAAGGGGATGAAGTCCCCGGGGCCCGGGACGCTGCGGACAAAGGCCCCTCTGCAAGAAATGCAAAACTCCGCCGAGGGGCTGGAAAGGGGCGGGGAGGCGTGAAGGTGGACACTGGGAGGGGAGATCCACTGAAAAACTCGGTCGGGGGGTGTGCACAGGGGCGAGCGAGGGGCGCTCGGAGGAAATGCGGAAGGGTCGGGGGCTGGTGGGGGGGGAAGATGCTCCGAGCGCTAGCCCCGGGGGTCCCGGAGAGGTGCCGAGAGTCCCCCGAGAAGCCCAGGGAGAGGAGGGAAAGAGGGTGGAGGGGTGGCGGGACTAGGGGAGCGGGCCGTCCCCCGCCCGTGCGCTGCAGGGTCGCCCCGGTGTAGCCCGGAGCGGAAGCGTTCACCCCGGCACAGCACTTGCGGGCCAGGGGTCGCGGTGGTACCTTTAACGCCTGCCATGTCTCCCGAGCCGGGGCCGCGGCTGCTTCCGGCTTCCTGCCACAGCCCTGGACCCCGCCCAGCCTCTGCCCCTGCCGCCCGCGGGAACGGAGCCCGCCCTCGCCGCGAGAGACACGCCCCCCGCTCGGGAGTCCCGCCCCTCCACGCAGATCCTGCCCCTTCATTCATCTCAGCCACTCAGAGCTCTGCCAAGAGAGCCCCGCCCCCTGCAAGGGAATCCCTCCCCTCCACCATATCCCGCCCTAATCCCGCCCCTTCAATCGGCCCAGCCATTCAGAGTCCCACCATGAGAGTCCCACCCCCTGATGTTTCAGAGCCCGCCCCCTCATACTGCCCAGCCACTCAGAGCTCCGCCATGAGTCCCGCCCCCTACACAGGAGACTACGTAGATTTCGCGCTGAGGCCCTAGAGCCCGTCCCTTCACTCTGCCCAGCCACTCAGAGCCCCGCCATGAGAGCCTTGAGCGGGAGTCCCTCCCCTCCGTGTAGATCCCGCCCTGATCCCGCCCTTTTACATTGTCCGGCCACTCAGGGTCCCGCCACGAGAGTCCCGTCCCCTACACAGTAGTCCCTCTCCTCCGTAGATTTCGCGGTGATGCCTCAGAGCCCGCCCCTTTTTTCTGCCCAGCCACTCACAGACCCGCCGAGAGCCACGCCCCCTGCGTGGGAGTCCCGCCCCTCCGCGTAGATCCCGCCCTGATCCCGCCCCTTCATTCCGCCCAGCCACTCAGAGTCCCGTTCTGAGAGTCCCGCCCCCGCCGCGAGTGCCCAGTCCAAGAGCCCCGCCCCGGACGCGCCTGGGCCCGCCCCTAGCGTTAGGATCCCCGCCCCCTCGCTCAGACCCCGCCCCCGCCACGCAGACTCTTCTCCCTCGCGCTGCTCCCACGTTCCGAGTTCAGCTATCCAGAGCTCTGTTTCTCGGGTTCCACTCGTGTTCCGCCGCGCAGAACCCCGTCCTCGCCACTCAAAGCTCCCGCCACGCAGGCCCCGCCCCAGGCTCCGGGCGCTGGCTTGCGACCCTAACCCACCTGCCTGGTCCCCGCACACAGCTCCCTAACCCCGAGCGCCGGGTCCTGGGCATCCATGCAGCGCTCCTCAAACCGGTGCCCTCGTTCCTCCCTTTAATCCTCTGGCGGAGGCCTCGGGACCTTGGGACCCGCAGCTCGAGCTCGTTTAGGCGGCGGCCACAGCAGAGCTAGAAACCCTCTGCAAAGAAACTGCGTGCGATAGGGCCCCCGGGTCACCGCCAGGGACCCTGAGCATCACCGGGTATGCATAATGACCCAAAAAAAGGGAAGAAACTGAGTGAGTTTGGAGACTGGCAAAGTGGGGAGAGGAAAAGGGGGATTTAGTCTATAGAAGAGGAAAGGACACCCCGTTACTGGCCAGAGAAATAGTCTTCTGTGTCCCGACACGTATCTTCTTCCTTTTCTGCTTCTTTCACTTCCTCCTCCATCTTCTCCTCTTCGTCCTCCTCCTCCTCCTCCTCCTCCCCGTCCCTTCACCAGTGCACATTTTTCACCACCAATGTCCCTAGTTTTTCCCCAGCATGTACTTCTGTGTAACTATTAGGGTTTCTGTGATACTGGACCCAGAGAGCAGGCCTCAAGGTCAAGACCATGGCGTTTGCCTGAACTTGTCTTACGTTATACCAACTTAAGCATTTATCAAAAATGAGCGGTTTGGGGCAGATCTATATCCTTGCATGCTGCTGACGCTGGTTCCATCCCCAGTACTCCATATAGGGCCTGATCTCTGAGCACAGAACTAGGAATAAGACTTAAATACCACAGTGTGGTCCCAAAATCACCACCAACAGCTAAGGTATTAGAAAATGCCAAGAAGCTTTACCCTCAACCAGAATGATGTTTACCCCCAAGGAATCATGGAATCAAAAACAAATGTACAAGAGCTAGTAGAGACACAGGCAGGGCCCTTGCCACGCAGATGATCCAGGTTTGATTCTGGCAACCATCTGTTCCCCAGATCACGACCAAGAGTAATTCTTTAGTGCAGAGCTAAGTAACCCCCAAGTATCAGCAGGTGTGGCCCAAAAACAAATGACAAAGAAAGCAGGGATAATATTTGTCTCCAGGTTTTCTGGCCACATTGTGGGTCCTTTCCACTTAGGACAAAGTCAGCCAGAGATTTTAGCTGTCTCCTAAGAAAATTTGCTTTCCCATTGCCAGGTCATAGTCACTGAAAACTTGTGCTTCCACTTATCCACATTCCATTTTTAGTGAAGAATCAAGGTTACCAAAAAAGTAAGGCCTTAGAAACTGATCTCTGGGGTCAGAGCAATAGTACAGTGGGTCTGGTGTTTACTTTGCATGTGGCCGACCGGCATCACCAGCATCCCATATGGTCTCCAAAGCTCACCAGGAGTGATCGCTGAGTGGAGAGTTGAAGAGTTGAAGAGTCCTGAGCACTGCCAGGTGTGCACCCCCCCCCCCAAATGCAGCTGACCTCTATCCAGTTGCCATTAGTGTGTTTTAAGTATGTAAGACCTCAATCATGCAACCCAGGGCATAGTGCATGTCTTCATATTAATTGGGGGCAGGGGGTGACTCACACCCAGCGGGGCTCAGGAATCACTCTTGGTGGTACTAGGGGGACCATATGCAGTGTAGTATTGGGATTAAACCAGGGTTGGCCACATGCAAAGCAAGTGCCTTACCTATTGTGCTACCTCTCCAGCCAATGACATTTTTATACTCTCTTCTTGCTTTTTAATTCACACGCACTATGAATTAAGACATAAAGGGCCTGATCCCCGAGGTGACAACCCCTGGGACCAAAGTAGTACTACAACAGGTAGGGTGTTTGCGTTATCCGTGGCCAACCCAGGTTCAGTCCCCAGCATCCCATATGGTCCCCCAAGCACTGCCAGGAGTAATTCCTGAGTGCAAAGCCAGGACTCACCCCTGAATATCACTGGGTGTGAACCAACTTCTTCCTCCCCCACCCCACCCCCAAAAAACACCAAACCCATTTTACAGATGGGAAAACTTAGGCTCAGATAGCCACTAGTGAGAAGGGAAACCAAGTTTTTGCTCCAAGAAGGCAAGAACCGCCTTGGCAATTTGAAATAACAGCAGCCTCTTATGCTCTCACTGGCAAAAATAAAAACCCTTGTTAAACTATTTTTGCTTTTTGGGTCACACCCAGCAATGCACAGGGGTCACCCCTGGCTCTGCACTCAGGAATTACCCCTGGCGGTGCTCAGGGGACCATATGGGATGCTGGGAATCGAACCCGGGTTGGCCGGGTGCAAGGCAAACGCCCTTACCGCTATGCTATTGCTCCAGCCCCTGTTAAACTATTTTTGAGGACAGTTCACAACAAAATATAAATTGAAAAATACTAATAACGACTATAGACTTTCCCTATTCTGCAGAAAAGGCTCTAGCCTCCCACTGCACCCCTGAGTTAGTTCCTTCCTGCTTCTGTTTTCTGAATTACAGAACCTACCTCTTGAACTTTTTGAAAATGAAATGAGAAAATGAATCCCTGGAATAGTGCTCAGAGCCATGCTGGCGAGCCAGGTATTATGAACTTGTGGTGTCGCTGGGTGGGCACTGAAGTCTAGACTGTGCAGAAACTCCAGGCCTGATGTGAGCCCACAACATCCTTCCAGGAGAACTGCATCCCAGCTGCATCCCCCACTCCCTTCCCTGGACCTGCAGTGCAAGACTCCGCTGGCTTCTGCAGACAGGTCTATTGGCCCAGGAGACAAAAATACAGGCCCAGATACAAGTGACTCTCAGTTGCTTTTTTCTGGCCATGTTATCTCATCTGCACAACCTCTGCAACCCGAGATTTCAGTGTTATTCCAGGGCAAATTCTGACTTTCAGCAGTGCCACACTTGGTCTAACTAACTCTTGGTAATAATAGCTATTACAGGGCGAGAACTCACTTATTCATAGTTTCTACACATGGTCTTTCATTTTCTTCACTGGAGGGGTGGTGAGAATTATCACTATTTTACATAGTGATAAAGTGAAGACAGAATATTTAAGAAACATGACCAGTATGAAAGTTCATTTTTGTTTTTTTTGTTGTTGTTGTTGGGGGACCACACCCAGCAGTTCTCAGGACTTACTCCTGGGTATAGACACTCAGGAATCATCCCTGCAGGTGCTCCGGGAATCATATGGGGTGCTGGAGATCAAACCCGGGTCAGCAGTGTGCAAGGCACTCTACCTGCTGTACTATCAACCCAGGCCCAGTAGGAGAGTTCTTAACAGGGACAAACCAGGACTGAAATCTAGTCTCTGGTCTCAAATCAATACTAGAGCATTCAGTTCATTTACCATTTTTCTTTACAACCCCCATCATCTGTTTCACTGTATCACTGTCGTCCTGTTGATCATTGATTTGCTCAAGCAGGTACCAGTAATGTCTCCATTCGTCCCAGTCCTGAGAGTTTAGCAGCATCTCCTTATTCATCGTATGGGAGGGTCTTTCAGGGTCAGGGGAATGAGGCCCTTTATTGTTACTGTTTTTGGCATATCGAATATGCCACGAGTAGCTTGCCAGATATCTGTTTACTTGACCTACATTCTCCCTTACGTTTCCAGTGGGGAAGCTGTCCTGTTGCTCTGTCCCACCAGCATCTGAGATGCAACTGTTGCATCTTGCTTTACACAAGGGTGCAGAAGCAGCAACTTTAGGCTCTAGGGGGACAGTGCTTCCAGAGAGAATACACCAGCCTTAGCATTCTAGCCAAGAGAATTTCTAGGCTATTTTTGAAGTATGGTATTTAAGATAATAAGAGTGTGTGTATGTGTATGAGAGAGAGTGAGAGTGAAAGAGAGAAAGAGAGAGAGAGAGAGAAAAGGAGGAAGAAGGGAGAGGGAGAAGGAGAGAGAGGGAAGAGACAGTAGTGAACCAATGAGGGTGTGGCCAAAAAATCCTGCCAGATGACATTCTAGTAACATGTATCCCATGTTTCTCTCTTTCTCTCTCTCTCTTTTTTTTTTTTTTTGGCTTTTTGGGTTACACACGGCAATGCTCAGTGGTTACTCTTGATTCTACACTCAGGAATCACTCCTAGTGGTGCTCAGGGGACCATATGAGATGCTGTGAATTGATCCCGGGTTGGCCGCATGCAAGGCAAATGCCCTACCTGCTGTACTATTGCTCAAGCCCCTCATGTTTCTCATTTTTTTGTCCCAGAGCCTTTCTTAAAAAGTAAATCAGGGACTGGAGTGATAGCACAGCGGGTAGGGCGTTTGCCTTGCACACAGCCAACATGGCCGACCCAGGTTCGATTCCCAGCATCCCATATGGTCCCCCGAGCACCGCCAGGAGTAATTCCTGAGTGCATGAGCCAGGAGTAACCCCTGAGCATCGCCAGGTGTGACCCAAAAAGCAAAAAAAAAAAAATTAAATCATGTTGAGAAGCTGTCATTTAAGCTTGTTGCTAGAATCCTAAAAGTACAGTAATACTCGAGGTTCCTACAAATATTTTTTGAGTCTTTTAATATACATTACAAATATTTTAGACAATCACATTTTGTGTAACATATTTACAAAACAGAATATATATTACAATAAATATGAGTGAAATGGTGAATCTGATCAACAACAGTTCTGTCACAACCATAGTTGAAGGAATGCAAAAAAGGCTGTTGGTCTGCATAAGTTAAGAGTTTTGAGATGAAGAGGGGTCCAGAATTATAATGTATCTGGAAAAGAGATGAGGGAAACCCCAAATTTAAGGTAGTTAAGATTCTTCTTCACTGCTAGTTACATGATGTTTAATGATGTTTTAAACTATGAACAGTGATGAATTATTCAAACATGATACAAAGCTAATATAGGTCTATCATCTCAAAATGTACGTGACATTCACATACTATCCTTTTAATTGTTATCATTATATACGTAGTTCACACAATATCTACACATGTGAATGAATGAGAAAAAAACAGGTCACAGCAACATGTCTCATTCCAATTTTAAATAAGACAAGCACACACTGGAGCAAACATTATTTTATAATACGTTAATAAATAACACCTAGTTTGTTGTGGTTACCTTGAACATTTTGCAGCTGTATATTTCCAAGGAGATAATTTTATGCAAGTTTCACATGGTCAGTGAAAGGTAAAATAAATGATGAATCTTTATAACCAAAAGAAGAAAGGGAGAAAGAGAGATGCTATACAGAACAAAATAGTATAAAATGTTTCAGACATGCTGCTTTTCTGGTACATTTTACCACAGGAAAAAATTAAAATAGAAATTAAAAAATGATTGTCCTATAAAAACAACTTTTGAAAGCTTTTCACAATATTGAGCATGAACCTTAAAGATTAGCATGGAAATCTTTCTGCCCATCTGCTTTGCATATATATATGTATATGTGTGTATATATATATACATACTATGCACATGGTGTATGTGTACACCAATGAGGTCTACGAGAGCCACGGGGAAACAGCTGCTCACTCTCCAAGAGAAACCCCCAAACACTGAACTGTAATCCAACCAATCTCAGGTCCACAAACAGTTCATTCTGCCTTCATTTTCACAGACGTGCCTGTGGGAATGCTTTTCCTGTAGATCCCCAACCACTTGCAAAACAACAGATCCGACTATAATAATACAACGGGGTCCAGTCTCCACAGTCAGCTCCAGGAACCTGGTTCCTCAAAGCGGATCCTAACTAGCTGCCTTGACTCGGTGAGTGCAGTTCTCTGGCTTTGACCGGGCTGTCTGCTTCCTGGAAGTTGGGGTTGCCCTATCTCCTCTCACTTGCAAACCTGAAGGACACTCAGTCCCTGCCAGACAATGGTTCTACCTTACGACCTGCTTCTGTCCAACACTTTCTTGGCTAAACTAAAGGAACAGTGTTAAGCCATTAGACAAAATTTCTTTCAAATCAAGTGGAAAGTTGTTATGGTATGAAGACCTTTTTTTTGTGCCAGTAACCACAGTTTTTCTAACAGGACAGGAAAGGTTTAGCCCAACTTTCTGACCAGGAACAAGGATTTCTACATCCTTGGAGTCCCTGCTTCATTCACTAGCATTTTCATTCTTTTTTTTTTTTTTTTTTCATTTCTCCAGAAAGAACTGATGTCAGTCACTGGATTGGAGTGGAATCACATCCTCCAATTCAAGTTCTGTCTGCATCTGCAAGTCTCCTTGACCTAAACAGGTGGACAGTCTTATGCTATGACCTTCGCGAATTTCCATTACAAAAATGCTTGGTGGTTGTGTTCCTGAAGTCTGTGTAATAATGCTGCTGCTCAAATTACAGCTTTCCAAGAAAATCTTAAAAACCATTAGTTAGACTCCATCGTGGAAGCCCATTATCATCCCTCGGGCTCATTAATCCTGTTCTTCAACAATGATGACTGGTGTTATGCCTTCAAGGCCTCTCTTTTCCGTTCCCCCACAAAATGCTGAGTAGGCTCCCCCAAAGGCAGGCTGGAATGTGGGGACTCTCTGTGAGGCCCCCTGACTAACGCTGCTCTCCTGTTTTATGTGGGCGGGGAGAGGGACTGGAGAAAACACACATCCACATTCTTTATCCACAAGGAATTAATTCACGAGTAAGGTAACAGTTTTAGTACTGGATACGTGTTACTGGAATTTGGGTTTCATCTGTGACATCCTCAGAACTGACACACACAAAGCGTTAGCACGGGTCTGCAGCAGAGAGGGAAAAGCTCACACGTTAATACAAGGGCTTTTGGCCTTGATTCTCGAATTCAGACCAGGCATCATTGAGCTCCATGAAAATCATCTTTGCATACTGTTCATAGGGCTGCCCGGTAGCCTACAGGGAAGGAAAAAAAAAATCACAAAACACACATTAGACACCCACAGACATAGGTTTGATTTATATAAAATTTTCACTGCTAGTAAGTGGACGCTGAGTCACTGAAACGTGCTAATTATGCTATCTTGGTTTTTTAAGACCCATTGGTGCAACACAGTCTGTGGTTCCTGTGACCTCCCTAGAAACTCAAAGAGGGCCACAGGAAGCAATCAGTGAGTGAACAGCAGAGAACTAGAGGCAGCAAACGATGCCTCTCCAGGCAACCAATCTTAGAGGGAAATACACATTTTTTACAGATATACTCGAGGCAATCGACGAACAACAGGATGGTCGTGATCGTGATATATAGACATAAAGATGCCTATATCTATATACAAGGCTCAACCTTTAACAACATGTTAGTGATCTCTTACAGAAAGGCTTAATGGCCCCTATGTGAAATACAACAATCCTTACACTCTTTCCTCTAAGGATACTTTTTTCTAGCATTTTCACAACAAACAATACATAATATATTATTTCAGTTCTGCTTTGGGGCAGGGATTGGTGTTCAGGATGGAAACATCTGAAATATGGTGGTGGGAAGGTGTAGTGGTGGTGGGATTGGTGTTAGAATATTAAATGTAATAAAATATTATCAACTACTTTATAAAATTAAAAAAAATTAAAAAACAAAAAAAAATGCCTCTCCGGTCCCCAGAATAGAGTTTCTCAACCTTTGTATGCCCAAAGAGGCACTTATAAAAACAGGAGAAATATTTCATGAACCACTAAGGCAAAAACAAAGTAATTTGTTTTATAAAGATTCTTCTATTCAGACCAGTCAAAAAAAAAGATGGAAAGCAGCGCATGTTGCTGAGTGCCATTGCTGTTACTGCCTCTGTCACAGCGGGGTCCCTGTGAAGACAGCCAGCTGACCCACCTGAGTGAGGAGAAGCAGGACTCTCCGTGAGGCCCCCTCACTAACGCGATTGCTGAGACTAACGTGGAAAAGACGGCTGTGACCTGCTGAACCCATCTGTCACGCGAGCACTGCATCATGGGTGGGTTTCACATGGGTCATGTGGAGCTCAACTTTCTAATCTTGAGTGTCGAGCACGTACATATGTTTATACGCAAATAAAAACATTACTGTACTGAACATCGCCAATGCAGAGAGGGCTACAGTTTCTGTCTGAGTATCGCCTTGACTTGCTGAGATTGTGTCACTCTAAACCTTTGTCACTGCAACCCCCTGGCTGGTTGCAGTGTCTCCAGCGACAAACATTTTTCCTCTGTCTGCCCCTCAGTCCTGCTGCCCATCACAATCCAGGACAGTTTACACTTGAGTCCTCAAAATGTATCAATGGGCTGGAGAAAGAATATAGCGGAGAGGGCACTTGCCTGGCACATGACTGACCCAGGTTCAATCCCCAGCATCGCATATGGTCCCATGAGTACCGCCAGGAGTAATTTCTGAGTACAGAGCCAGAAGTACCCCTGAGCATCACCAGGGATACCCCAAAACAAAAAGGTAAGTAAATTTGTGGTAAACCTTACACCTCTCTCTAGTCATAGTTTCATTCCTTGGTTTTATGGGTTTTTTTGGTTTGGGAACTACACTCAGTGGTGTCCAGGGATTCCTCCCGGCTCTGCATTCAGGAATCACTCCTAAGGGGTTTGGAGGACCAAAGGGGATACCAGACATCAAGCCCAAGTTGGCCATGTGCTTGGCAAGTATCCCACCCATTGTACTATCTCTCTGGCCCCTCCGTTCCATTATTTGTGATGCACAGTTTTATTTCTTTTCACCTGCCTCATAAAATAGAATTGCTAAGTTTAAATTGTAAGTCTTAGGAACTGGAGAGATAGACTAGAGGATAAAGTGCTTGTCCTGCATGCAGCCACACTAAGTTCAACTCCTGGTACTGCATATGGTCCCTGAGCACTTTCAGGGGTCACTGCTGAGCACAGAGTCAGGATTAGCCCCTGAGCACCACTGGGGTGTGGCTTCAAACATCCCCACCCAATAAAAACTAAACCAATGGAAAAAAGAAAGAAAGGGGCAGAGTGATAGTACAGCAGGGAGGGTATTTGTCATGCTTTCAGATAACCCGGGTTCAATCCCCAGCACTTCATATGGTCCCCTGAGCCCACCAGGAGAGATTCCAGAGTGCAGAACCAGGAACCCCAAGCATCACCAGCAATGACCCCAAAACAAAAACAAACAAACCAAAAAAGTAATATGGAACAGGGACAGTCACTTCTTAATGATCAAGGGATATGTACATTATAAAGAACTCATGCTCCTAAACATTAATGCACCTAATGATGGACCATCAAAATATTTAAAGTAAATTATGAGACCTGAAGGTAGATATTGATAGCAACACAATATCAGTTGGAGTCTTCAACACTGCTTTATCACCTTTAAATGAGTAACTAGACAAAAGCTCAACAAGGAAACACTGACTTTTAAGGAAGAAATGGAAGAGATGGGATAGAACACATATAGATGGTTCTTCATCTCCCCCATACACCCAAAGTTGAAAATTCATTCTTGTCCAGCTTACATGGGACACTCTCCAAGACAGACCTCATGCTGAATAACAAAATATGCCTCCATAAAATGAAATATACATCCTTTCAGATGATGATGCACTAGAAATGAAATTTAATCACAAACAGAAATGAGGAAAAAACTATAACATCTGGAAATTCAGCAACTCACTACTGAACAACCAGTGGATCCAAGAGAAAAGCAAGAGATTTCTGGAAACAAACAAACAACAACAAAAAAGAAGGTACAAGCTACTGGAACACACAGAACATGACAAAAGTGATGTTAAGAGGAAAGTTAATAGCAATACAAGCATTCATCAGGAAGCAAGAAAGGGCCCACATAAATGACCTAACTGCACATCTTAAGTTGCTAGAAAAAAAACTGACAAAAGGAACCCAAAGCAAGCAAAAGGAAGGCAACACTAAAACTTAAGAGAAGAAATTAATGAAATAGAAACTAAAAACACAATACAGAAGATCAAGAAACCAATACCTGGTTCTTTGAGAAATAAACAAGATAAACCATTATCAAGACTCACAGAGAGAGAAAACCAGAGTAACTGAATCAGAAATCAAAGGGCACAAGTTACAATAGGCACCACAAAAATTCAAAGGACCATCAGAGATTACTTTGAAAATCATTATACTGTAAAACTGGAGAACCTAGAAGAAACTGGATAGATTTTTGAACTTTCATAACTTCCAAGGTTGAATCAAGAGGAAACAGAGTACCTGACCAGGTCAATTACTCTCAAGAAATCAAAATTGTGATCAAAAGTTGCTCCCAAAGCAAAAGATAAGGGCCAGGTGGGTGTACTAGTGAGGTCTTTCAAACCTTTAAAGAAGACCTCCTTCCAATCCTCTCAGGCTCTTTCAGAAAGTTGAAGAAATAGGAATCCTCTCAAACAGTTTCTATGAGGCAAACATTACCCTAATACCACAAGCAGACAGAGACATCACAAGAGTAAAATTAAAGACCTATATCCTTGATGAACACAAATGAAAAGATCCTCAACAAAATATTAGTGAACGAAATCCAACAATATATTTGAAAAGATCATATACCATTATCAGGTAAGATTAATCCTGGGGATGCTAAGATGATTTAATATATGCAAGTCAAATCAAAACAACAATGAGATATCATCTCACACCACAAAGACTGGCACACATTCAAAAGAACAAAAGCAACCAGTGCTGGCGTGGATGTGGGGAAAAGGGGACACTCTTTCACTGTTGGTGGGAATGCCCACTAGTCCAGCCTTTCTGGAAAACAATATAGACAGTCCTTCAAAAACTAGAAATTGAGCTTCCATATGACCCCACAATACCACTTCTGGGAATATATCCCGAGGGTGCAAAAAAGCACAGTAATGACATCTGTACCTATATGTTCATTGCAGCACTGTTCACAATACCCAAAATCCGGAAACAACCCAACTGTCCTAGAACAGATGACTGGTTAAAGAAACTTTGGTACATCAACACAATGGAATACTATGCAGCTGTCAGGAGAGATGAAGTCATGAACTTTGCTTATAAATGGATAGACATGGAGAGTATCAGGCTAAGTGAAATGAGTCAGAAAGAGAGGGACAGACATAGAAAGACTACATTCATTTGTGGAGTATAAAGCAACATAACATGAGGCTGACACCTAAGGATAGTAGATACACGGGACAGATAGATTGCTCCATAGATGGAAGCCTGCCTCACGAGCAAAGGGGAGAAGGCAGCTGGAATAGAGAAGGGATCACTGAAAAAAGAAGGTTGAAGGAATCGGTCAGGATGGGAGATATGTGCAGAAAGTAGATAACGGACCAAACATGATAACCTCTCAGGGTCTGTATTGCAAACCATAATGCCCAAAAGTAGAGAGAGATTATGGGGAATCATGTCTGCCTTGGAGGCAGGGGGAGGGTGGGAAAGGAGGGGCACACTGGGGATACTGGTGGTGGGAAATGTGCACTGGTGGAGGGATGGGTGTTTGATCATTGTGTGATTGTAACCCAAACATGAAAGCTTGTAACTATCTCACGATGATTCAATAAAATTAAAAAATAATAATATATGCAAGTCAATCAACATAATTAATGCACAATAGCACTACAAGAAAAAATGAAAATCAGATGATCATATCAGTATATGCAGAGAAAGCATTTGACAAGGCCCAACAGCCATTCATGATTAAAATGTCTCAATAAAATGGGGGTCTGAAGGAACTTTCCTCAGCATATTTAAAGCCATTTACTACAATCCCACAACGAACATACTCAATGGTGAAAAACTGAAAGTCTTTGCTCTAAGACCAGGCAGCAGGCAAGGTTGCTCACTCTCACCACTACTATTCAATATGGTACTGGAAGTTTTTGTCATAGCAATTAGTAAGAAAGAAATATTAAGGACATCCAGATTAGAAAAGAAGTTAAATTCTCACTCTCTGCAGATGATATGATAGCTACTGTACTGAGAAAACCCTAAATACTCTATTAAAAAACAAACAAAAAACCCAAAAAAGCTCTTAGAAACAATAGACTTGAATAAACTTTTAAAGTGACAGGCTATAAAATCAATGTGCAGAAATCCCTGGCTCCAGATAGGAGAGAGAATGGAATACTATGACAATGACAATTGGAAATGATCATTCTGGTCAAGAACTGAGTGTTGAAAGGAGGTAAAGGAATATACATGATAACCTTTCAGCATCTGTACTGCAAACCACAATGCCCAAAATGAAATATATATATATATATATATATATATATATATAGAGAGAGAGAGAGAGAGAGAGAGAGAGAGAGAGAGAGAAGAAAAGTATCTGCCACAGAGGCAGGCAGAGGTTGGGTGGCGAGAAGGAAATTGGTGGTGGGAAATGTACACTGGTAAAGGGAGGGGTGTTGGAATACTATATAACTAAAACTCAATCATGAACAACTTTGTAACTGGATTTCACAAGTGACTCAGCAAAAAAAAATTAAAATTAATTTAAAAGCTGGATAGATGCAAAAAAGGAAAAACAAGAAATCCCTGACTCAAAATTGACCTGTTGAAAAAAACTCAAGGATGTGGCCTTTGTGACTGAAATTTCTAGGCTCTCACAGAGTCCAGGATGGGCTACTTCCCCCATCTTCCTGTTCTTCCAGAAGCTGGCAGTTACACCCATGAACTCCCTCTGGTGCCAAATAATCTCATTAACCAGCCATGATCCAGAGACTCATAAATAAATGTAGAAAGAGACCAACGACTTCCTTCTGGTCCCCATGCCAGGCTGAATTATCTGGGATACCCAAAGTTCCCATTCAGTCAAAAATTCAACTCCAGCTATATCATCTCATTCAAAATTTTAGAATTCCTGGAGTGCGTGGCAACATCCGTGGCCACACAACATCTCAAACTCTACATGATAAACCAGGAGTAGCACACCACATTGTATGGGATATAAAGTAAAAGGCAATCAATCTGAATTAAGAAAATACAAACACACAAGGCTTAACCTGTAACAACATATTAGTAATCTCTTCTACAAAGGCTTAAAGGCTACATGGTGAGATACAATATTCACTTACTTTCTTCTAAGGAAATATTTTTTGATCATTTTTAGCACATTATAACAAGCAATACAAAGTAAATTTTTCAGGGCCTGCTATACAGGCAGGCTTGAGGGATGGATGGGAAAATTGGAAATAATGGTGAGGGAATGTGCAATGGTGGTGGGATTGGTGCTGGAATACTGAATGTAATAAATCGTGGGCAACTTTATAAAAATAAATTTTAAAAATAGAAATCCCCGGCTCTTCTAAATGAAAATAGATTAAGATTAAGATTAAGATTAAAGGCCCTCCCGTTGATCATCGATTTGCTCGAGCGGGCCCAGTAACGTCTCCATTGGAGACTTTGTTGTTACTGTGTCTGGCATATCGAATACTCTCGGTAGCTTGCGGGGCTCTCCGAGAGGGGCGGAGGAATCGAACTCGGGTCGGCCATGTTGGCTGCGTGCAAGGCAGATGCCCTACCCGCTGTGCTATCGCTCCAGAAAGGAAAGAAATTAATAAAAACAATCCCATTCACAATTGTGCCTCAGAAAATCAGCTCTAAGTGCAGTTTAACAAAAGAGGCAAAAGAAAAAAATGAATAAGCTAGATAAAGTTTCATATTAAGTTTTGTACGCTATAAGATATAAGAGGAAGACTATACTTTCATATATCATTTCTATAAGTCAGAAAGAGAAATAAAAGTGGACACAAGGAAATGGGAACACATCCTGTTACTGGATTGGAGGGACTATTATCATCAAAATGATAAATGTGCCCAAAGTATTATACAGATTCAGTGCAGCTCCTATAAAATTACACAACGACATCTTTTAAAGAAATAGATCAAATGCTGTTCAAATTTATATGGAGCAGTAATTCCCCCTCCTCTGCTCCAAGTAGCCAAAGCAATCCAGGAAGAAAGAAAATAGGAGCATCCTCTTCCCCCAAGTTCAAACTACACTCTAAAGCTGTAGTAATCAAAATCAGTATGGAGTGGGAATGAGGCAGACTCTTAGGCCAATGGCATGAAATAGAGTCTAGAGACAGATCCTCAGGTATATAGAAGTTCATTTCAATAAGGGAGCAAAAATACTTTGTGGAGCATGAAAAGTCTCTTCAACAAACGTTATCGGGTTCTAGAGAGATAGTATAGCAAGCAGGGTGCTTGCCTTGCACAAGATTAATCTGGGTTCAATCCCTGGCATCCCATATGGTCGCCCAGCACTGCCAGAAGTAATTACTGAGTGCAGAACCAGAAATTACTCCTGAGAATTGCTGGGTGTGACCCAACAACAAAGAAATAAAAAATGGTACTGGAAAAACTGTTTGGTCACATGCAGAAAAGATAAGAATTCAGATTCCTTTTTAACGCCATGCACAAAAGTCAAATAAAAATGGGTTAAAGACCTGATATCAGATCTAAATCCATAGATTGTATTGAAGACTTTATAACATTGAATCTAGAGCATTCTTTAATGATTCAATGCTATTGGCCAAGCAAGTGAAAGAAAAAGGCAAACAGAACTATGTCAAGCTTAGCATTTTCCACACTGCAAAAGAAATGACGAGAATTAAAAGACACCCCACAGATGAAGAGAAAATATTTGCCCACCACTCATCTGATAACGGATTAGTATCCAAGATGTATAAAGCAAGTGGTGGAACTATACAAGAAAAAATATACCAACCATATGCAACAATGGGGGGAAGAGATGAATAGAAATTTCTTCAAAGACATACCGATGGCCAAAAGAAGTATGAAAAATGCACTGTATCACTAGTCATGAGGGAAATGCAATTCAAAACAACAATGAGGTATCATCTCACATCAGTGACACTGGTACACATCACAAAGAACAAAACAGCCAGTGTTGATATAGGTGTTGGAGAAAAGGGACCCTCGTTCACTGCTGGTAGGAATGTTGTTTGGTTCAGCCTTTTTTGGAAAACAATACGGACACTCGTCAAAAACTAGGAACTGTGTTCCCATATAACCCAGCAATTCTACTTTTTGGCATCTACTCCAAGGGCCTCAAAACTCTATTCATAAAAGATATTTGCACTCCTATGTTCATTATAGAATTATTTACAATAGCCAAAATATGAAAACAACTCAAGTGCCCAAAAATAGATAACTGTGGGGCTGAAGCAATAGGACAGCAGGTAGGGCGTTTGTCTTGCACACAGCTGGCCCGGGTTCGATTCCCCGCATCCCATATGGTCCCCCAAGCACTGCCAGAAGTTATTTCTGAGTGCATGAGCCAGGAGTGAGCCCTGTGCATCACCTGGTGTGACCCAAAAAGAAAAAAAGAAAAGAATAGATAACTGAATAAGGAAACTAGGATCCAAATACACAATGGAATACTGCATGGCTATAAGATGAAATTAGGCAATTTGATGCTACATGGATCATGTTGAGTGAAGTGAATCAGAAGGACAGGGACAGACACAGAATGATCTCTCAAATGTGAGATGTAAAGATACATAATAAGGGAATAATATATGCAATAGAAACAGAACTGGTCTCCAGTAGGAAACTTGCCATGGTGGGGAGGGGGGCAGGTTAGGAAGAAAGCAGGATAGGGAGCAGGGGACACTGGGACAAAGATGGCAGGAAGCAGACACTCTAGTGGAAGTCGTAGGGCTGAAATATTTTATGCATGAAACCCTATCATTAAGGGAACTGTAGCCCATTAATACATGTACATAGTATTGACATCTGAAAACACATTTCAAATGTATTTTTGTATTTGAAAATGAAAAGAAACTGTTTTCAATTTCTTATTGAAAACAAATAAGAAAGATGAGATTTCCGGGGCTGGAGCAGTAGCACAGCGGGTAGGGTGTTTACCTTGCACACAGCCAACCCAGGTTCAATTCCCAGCATCCCATATGGTCCCCCAGCACCACCAGGAGTAATTCCTGAGTGCAGAGCCAGGAGTAACCCCTGAGCATCACTGGGTGTGACCCAAAAAGCAAAAAAAAAAAGCAAAAAAAAAATGAGCTTTTCACCCACGTCAATGGGGTGAAAATTAGATTAGTGAATCTACATAATGAAAGCAGGATACTTCTGTCCAGGCTCAGGAACTCTGGAGCGGAGGTGCAGGGGCATGTGGGGAGAAGCTTACTCACCTTGTCTGGGTGTACCACCAGCACCGCTCTCCTGTACACCTTCTTCACCTGCTCCGGTGTCACCAAGTCTGCCATGCTCACCGGCTTCCACTTGGTCTCCCCCTCCCACAGCACTGTGTGCATGGTGGACAGCAGCGCTCGTATGTTCCTCTCTTTGCCTTCGATCCACTCCAGAATCTGGAAGTGCAGAAGGCATTGAGAAGGTCAAAGATCGAGGGGCTAAGGAGACGGTTCAAAGGGCTGGAGTGCAGGTGGGAGGCCTGGGTTTGGTCCTTGGCACTGAATGCACCCACGAACACTGCCAGATACAGACCAGAAACCAAAGCAAAAAGGGAAAAAAAATTCAAATGTCTTTGCACCTCAGGCCTGGAGTGAAAGCACAGTATGCAGGGTGTTTATCTTGCACATGGCTGACCGGGGTTCAATTCCCAGAATCCCATATGGTCCCCCGAGCACTGCCAGGAGTAATTCCTGAGTGCAGAGCCAGGAGTAACCCCTGTGGATTAATGGGTGTGACCCAAAAAAGCAAACCAAAAAAAAAAAAAAAAGCCTTTGAGCCTCAAAGGTCTTCTTTGGAATTGTGGGTGCCCTCCTGCTCTACAACCAAGATATTGGGGTTCCTGCATACCCAGGCTGATTCCTCACCCGGGGGCTGGCTTGCCCACTCCATCTCCTACTAGAACAGATAACTCCTCTTATGATTCAAAAGGCTACTCAGAAGTTTCCTGCTTGCCTTTGGGAGTTTGAATTCCTTCCTTTCCCTACTATGCCAACCCCACACCCTGCTATCCACCGCAGGGCTTAATGACTCCTTCAGAAACTATGAACTCCAGGAGGGCTCCAGGAACAGCTCTGCTTCCTTGAATGTGAAACTAGAAGGTCACAACCTCCTGTAAGTCAAATGTGTGTGTGTGTGTGTGTATATCAAATGTGTGTATATATATTTAAATATATATATAAGTCAACTATATATGTAAATATAGTTGACTTATACATATATTTAAAATTTAAAAATTTTTTTTTGCTTCTTGAGTAACACCCGGCAGTGCACAGGGGTTACTCCTTGCTTTGCACTCAGGAATTACTCCTGGTGGTTCTCAGGGGACCATATGGGATGCTGGGAATCAAACCTGTATCGGCCACATGCAAGGCAAACGCCTTACCCCCTGTACTATGGCTCCAGCCCCAAGTCAACTATTTTTATAAAATAGAACAACGTTTCTGCTATCCCCAACAGAAACCCTTACTTAGACTTCCAGAATCAAAAGAAGATACAAATAGAATTTGTCCACTTTGAGTGTGAGGAAACTTAACCAGGAATCTCATCCCCCTCTCGCAGCCTCTTCTTCCATCTTGCCAAACCCCCAGGTCTCATTCTATAGGAAGCGGCAAGTGTACCACCCCAGGTACATCAACATTCTCTACCAGGAAAGGGAAAGATCCTGAGGGTGTCCTGGTACCCGGTCTATATTGAAAGTTCTCAAAGGCAGCATGAGAACATAACACATTCTTACTCTCAAACACGGATCATTTACCTTTGGATCTGAATAACATGTCACTTCTTCTAGAGTGCACAGAATGGAGAATATTAAAGAAATGAAACTGCATGCCCACCCTACCCACCCAAGTCACCTGTTAGAGGACACAGGGGTGCCCAGCGCAGGACTGCGGGCACCAATTGAAATACACCGCTGGAGGGCTGAGACAGCGCCCTCTACAGGTCAGTCCCACACCCAGGCACCACACACTTGACCTTTGCGGAGAATTCTCCCCCTGGGGCTGGGTTGGGGCGCTCAGACCTTTAATTTCTCAGGATCCATTTCCTTGGCCATTTCCTCCTTCCTCATCTCAGCTATTGTTCGAGGCCCCTTTTTGTCTTTGTGTGCGCTGAAACCTTGGCTGGACAGGAGATCTTCAAAGTCGGCTGCCTTTTGTTTCCCTTCTGCATCGAAAATATAGAGAAGCCATGACTAGTTTGTAAACATTCCATAACGCCTTTGTTTCAAAACACTGAGCATCTTCAAAGTATTTGAGTGGGATCACATTCTGTGAGTAGGGCGATAAGACTCTTGCACCCATCTTACAAATGAGGAAAAGAAAGTGCAGATAACTTAAGAGATCTGTCCAGACACATACAACACATCCAAGACAAGGCAAGGATTCAAAGTTGGAGAATCAGATGAAACTCAACTCCACTTACATAGTACCATGTTTTAAATAGCTGAATGTACTCTTGATTTTCACCTCAGCTTACCCCAGGCCTACAATGAGTTTGTTATCATGATGACACTAAGAATTATATTTTGGTACTTGAATTATATTTTGGTACATACGCAAACACATTCCTGCCACAACCAGCTGACAATTCTAATGTTTGAAAATGCTCTTTCCCTCCTCAGTCTGGTTCGATCTTCCCAAACACCAAAATCTCAAAGTGAGAACTTCCGGTCCACCAATTGTTAGCAATACAAACATGGAAGAGGCTACTTATCAATCCCATGTCTCAATGTCTTCCTCTTCATAAAAGAAGGTTGATAATAGCACAGGGTTCGTGTGAGAAACGATCAGGTGACATTTTAAAGTGCTTAGAACAGAGCCTGGTTATTTACATGATTGTGAAATGAAGATGAACCATTTCAGTTCAAATTCAGCAGTCAATGTCTAATCAAAGTTGGTATCTGAACTGAAATGCATCTCTATCTTGTGAAATGTTCTGTGCATATATATTCACCCAAGGACTAACATGTAAGTGTGCAGGGGCTCAGGATATTGGCTTTCTTGTTTGCAGCAGTGGGCCCAACGTTTTCTGCAGTGAAGGTGTTGCATAAATATGAAGTGAAGACATGAGACTACAATGGAAAGGAAGTCATCACAATGTTCTCTGTATTCCTGACAAAAGAATTCCTTTTGTGAAAAGGAATCTCTGTGCACTGTGAAAAGGCATCTCTGTCAGACCCAGGAGGATGGTGGTTAATCCATTTATTTTTTGTTTGCTTTTGGTTTTGTATTTGGCCCATGCCCAGCGAGGCTCAGGGCTTATTCCTGGCTCTCTGCATTTAATAATCACTCCTGGCAGTGCTCAGGGGACCCTATGGGATGCTGGGGATCAAACTCAGGTGGGCTGCGAGCAGGCAAGCGTCCTTCTCACTGGACTCTCACTCAAGCCTGAGAGTAGTGGTTAAAGCAGGGCTTCTGAAACCAGACTGCCTGTTTCCCATCTTGGATCTGTCGCAAGTTATCTGGACTTAGGGCTAGAGCAATAGCACAGCGGTAGGGCGTTTGCCTTGCACGCAGCCAACATGGCCGACCCGAGTTCTATTCCTCCGCCCCTTTGGAGAGCCCGGCAAGCTACCGAGAGTATCTCGCCCGCACGGCAGAGCCTGGCAAGCTCCCCGTGATGTATTCGATATGCCAAACACAGTAACAACAAAGTCTCCAATGGAGATGTTACTGGGCCCGCTCGAGCAAATCGAAAGGGTATTTCTTCATTGATATCTCTCAATGATTATGCACCTGTTAAGAGAAGATGGATGATGGAGATGATAAAAAAAATACATAAAAACTGCTTAGAATAGCCTCTGCCATAGAGTAAGCACTCAATAAATGTTAACTATGGCTGATTGGAAAAGCAGAGGCTGTTCCTTTTCCTGGTTCCTCTGGAAAAAGGACTGTTTTCTCATCACGCCCCTATACACGGCATTCTTGGGCATGATCCAATCAAAAGAAACAATCACCCAACAGATGAGAAGAAACACAAATGCCCAGAACACAAATATGCCTCTCACGGGCAGGCCAGTATAAATGTGAACAGTGCTTTAAAAGCACTCCCTCTTCTATACTCTCACAAGCAACCACCCACCCTTCCACTCACAGGCATTTACCATTCATCAAGTGTCTACTAGGGGCCGAGCACCACGCTAGGTGCTAGTGTTGAAATGGCAACAAAAAGACATGGCGCCCTTCCTCCCTGTGTGGAGTGAGATGGGGAAACTAGACAGAGAAGCGAAGCCTCAGATGCAAACCACACCCTGTGTTGGGAACGAGGTAAACTAGTTGTCCCAGGTACCACCCAGGGAGTCCCAGATCATGATCTCTCTCTCTCTCTCCAACACTAAGCTTGCCACTTTAATGCCCAAAGGTAGAGAGAGTATAGGTGAAATTGTCTGCCATGGAGGCAGGAAGAGGGTTGAAAAGGGGAGGTATACTGGGGACACGGGTGATGGGGGATGTGCACTGGTGGAGGGATGGGTGTTTGATCACTGTATGATTGTAACTCAGGCTGCAGTGATAGCACAGTGGGTAAGATGTTTGTCTTGCATGTGGCCGACATGATCGACCCGGGTTCAATTCCTCTGCTCCTCTCGGAGAGCCCAGCAAGCTACCGAGAGTATCTCGCCCGCGTGGCAAAGCCTGACAAGCACCCTGTGATGTATTCAATATGCTAAAAACAGTAATAACAAGTCTCACAATTTGTTGTGAGACATTACTGGTGCCCGCTAGAGCAAATCGATACAACTGGAGGACAGTGCAGTGCAGTGTTATAATTGTAACTCAAACATGAAAGCTTGTAACTGCATCTTACAATGATTCAATAAAATAAAAATAAATAAAACAAACAAACAAAAACACTAAGCTTGCCTCAGAAATGACAGACACAGGCAGACTCACAACACAGACAGGTCATCTGGTGGTCCTGACGTAGCCCATCACACTTACCCAGATTAGCAGCTCCTTTGCCCCGCTCGCTCTGCCCAGCTGGCACGGATGAGAAGCTCACGTTGTAGTTGGGCCTGTTCTGGGGTGAGGAGTGTGGCATGCTGGGTTGGGGCTTCGACTGGGTCTGCTGCCAGTTGTAGCCAGCACCTTGCTGCCACCCGCCCCCCATCGGCTGGGGAGAGGCTTTCTGAGGTGAGCTGAGAGGTGGGAATCCTCCACCCAGTCCAGTTGGTGTGGTAGGCTTGCTGGCAAATGAGGAACTGCCTACAGGAGAATAAAAGGCAGGGGTGGGGGGAAACGTGGCATGAGGAAGAAGGTAATGTGATTTTGAGTAGCCTCTATTTTCGTGCCCAAGTTCTAGTTTGCAGGTATTTCCATGGAAATTACCAACATTGGCAGCACCATTATAATTTACCTCCTTTATAACTCAGCAAATCACAGTCAGAGACTTCCTTTAATCAGCCACCATGACATTCTGTTGGATTGGAATTGACAACTGGTTGCATGGATTGACAACCCTGTGTTTTCCCTTTGGATGAACAAACCCAGCACTTCCGTGATTTTCTTAAGTACACACAGCAGCACGTGGCGGCAATGCAGCTTGAACCCAGGCTCCGACCCCAAGTCCAAAAGCGCTGGGTCTGCCCAATCTGCCACCCCTTCCTTCCTTCCCACCCACCCATTATGCCAATTCTGCTTCTTCCCTGGCATAGAAACTACCAACAAACACAACTGGATGCTCACTCCCTAAGGTACTATTACACTTCCGTGATCAGGATTATTCATTGTTTATTTAGGTGCGGGTGGCTGAGTACATACAAAAGGTGTCTTTGAAATATCGCATGTAGATTTCTGTTTCCTACCTACATTCTGTTTCAGGAGAATAACAGCCAATATTGTGACAACTTGGATAAAGGCGGAAAGTTTTACTCAAGCTTTGAAAGAATGATCATGACGATCTCTTCTCTATCTGATCATTCTTTTAAAATTTGAATAAGACCAGATCTGTGGGTTAAAAGTAGGTAAGGGAGATTCTTGATAATCTTTCAGTATCAATATTGCAAACCATAATGCCCATAAGGGGGGGGCGGGGAGAGAGAGAGAGAGAGAGAGAGAGAGAGAGAGAGAGGAGAGACAGAGAGAAGAGAAAGTACCTGCCATAGAAGCAGGCTGTGGGGGTCGAGGGGGCTGATGGAAGAGAACCTGGGGACACTGGTGCTGGGAAATGTACACTGGTGGAGGTATGGGTGGACTACTGTATGAATGAAATTCAATCATAAACAGCTTTGCAAAAAATAAAAATTAATTAAATTTTTTAAAAAAGAACCCTGAACCCATTTGAGAGCCCAATCAACATTTATTCTCATGGCTTTTAGACAGTAATCAAAGTCCACTGAACTCAGTGTCTCAAACTTACTTGCTTATGGAACATCTACCCTTAATGTTGATTGACACAGAATGGGGAAAAAAAAATCCACTTCTGAAATTCTATAGTCTACTTTCTGGATGGAATTTTACAAATCCATCAACCTGCATTATAGTCAGTGGCGAAAAAAAAAAAAAGAGGAGGTGTGAGGATCTCACTGTCTCACAGGCCACAGATTGATCTGCCAGCCCCAGCTCTAGCGTTTCCAACATCATGTTGTGCCTCAGTCAAATTCTCCTGGAAGCCCTGACTTTATTCCTGCCATGAATCCAAAATTTGACATTGGAGATGTCAAACAAGGGGTTAAGCTCAACCCAAATATATATATATATATATATATATATATATATATATATATATATATATATATTTTCTTTTTGGGTTACACCAAGCAATGCTCAAGGTTTATTCCTGGCTCTGCACTCAGGAATTACTCTTGGCGGTGCTTGGGGGGCCATATGGGATGCCGGGGATTGAACCCAGGTCGGCCGTGTGCAAGGCAAACGCCCTACCCGCTATGCTATCGCTCCGGCCCCTCAACCAAATATTTGAAGTCTGCCTCAGTTTTCACATCACCCATTTCAGGTTTTAGAGTAGTTTTCAAGGACACATATGATTTGAAGTCCCAAGTAAGGGTACCAGTTTAATGGGACAGCCGGGATTTCCGTTCGAGACATTTATGAGTGTGACTTCTCTTTACCTGTTAAGTTTGTACCCAGTGTCCCGAGATCAGCAAAAGGATCCAAAGTCTGGGGCTTGCCCTGATGGGTGGGAGTGCCATGCGAGGATCCTGTTGGGCTGGTGGCAGCTGACTTGCTTCCCATTCCAAACCCCCCTGAAATGAAATGAGGATCGTTGAGAAGGAGTTCTTTGTGTTAAGGACAGATTTCAAAATCACAAATCCAGAAAAACGGCTCAACATGTCTCGAAGGCCCAGCAGGGCTGGGGGTTTGGGGATATGTTCGAAGTTGCTCACTCTACTTTCTCTGACTTAAGAGGATGAATGCCTGGTACAGGGTACAGAGAAGGGGTATGTATGTCATTTCCTGGCCACATCCATTAACTACCGTGCCCAGCCGTTTACTTCTCAAGTAACTTAAATTCATTCTCTCCTAGGGGGCCTGGCATCTGGGTGGACATTCTGGCTCTGTGATTTTTTGGCTAGGTGACTTTGGGCATATTGCCTAAATTTTCTGAGCTTCACCATTCTTTCATCTGTTAAATAAGGAAACACCAATTGCTTCAGGAAGTTGCTGTGGTATGCCAGTATGTGGGTCCTGGGGGTGCACGATGACGGGGAGATTTACTTACACTGTGTTAGTAAAACAATCACGCAAGATGACTCTTAGTAAATACCCTACTGGTCATGAGAAACTCAGTTTCTTTATTACAGACAATTTCAGGCCTGAAACAAATTCACTGTGAACAGAGATTATTCAGCATCTACAAATGTCAGGAATTTCCCCATAGTGTACTTACTCAACTCTATAGGATAAGAATCATTAATCCCCTTTTACAAATATTGAAAGACAAGTTAAGACTTACAAAAGTGGGGGCAGGGAGACTGAATAAAGAGATAGTGCTGGAGGGGCTAGAGCGATAGTACAGGGAGTAGGGTGTTTGCCTTGCACATAGCCAACCCGAGTTTGATTCCCAGCATCCTATATGGTCCCCCGAGCACCGCCAGGAGTAATTCCTGAGTGCAAAGCCAGGAGTAACCCCTGTGCATTGCCAGGTGTGACCCAAAAAGAAAAAAAAAAGTATAGGAAAGCACTTGCCTTGCATGTAGCTGACCCTACTTTAAAAAAAAAAAAAAACTTTTATTTCTATTTTGAGGGCTTGGGACCATATGCAGCAGTGTTCAATGGCTATTCCTGGCTCTGTGCTCAGGAGCGACCTCTAGCAAGTGCTGGGGGGATTCATATATGGTACTGGGGCTCTAACTGGATAGGGGTAAGACAGAGAACTTGTACAGAAGCTAAGCTTGCCTTATGCGGGGCCAATGTGGTCAGGACCCACATGTAGTTCCTTGAGCACTGCCAGAGGTCACTCGTAAGCAAAGAGGCAAGAATATCCCCTGAGCACTGTGGGATGAAAAACCCAGAGTGGAGGAAAGGAACTTGTTCAGAAACAACAACAAAAAAATAAAACACATCGAAGTGGCAGAGTTAGAAATATGCCCAGACTGATGGAAACATCCCAAATTTCGTGGTGGGAAAGTGTAATGGTGGTGGGTTTGGTGTTTGAATATTAACTGTAAATCAAATATTGTGAACCACCTTATAAAATAAACAAATTTTTTTTTTTTTTTTTTTTTTGTATTCTGCAAATCTAGGGGATTATCTTTTTTTTTTTTCCCCTTTATTTTATTTTATTTTTTTTAAAGTTGTAGATTTACAATTTTTTGTGCTTTGGTTTCAATTATACAATGATCAGATACCCATCCCTCCACCAGTGCCCATTTTCCACCACCATGGATAATATCCCTCCCACCCCCATCCCCCCATCCCCCCTGTCTCTGTGGCAGGGCAATCCCCTGTGTTCTCTCAAAATAAACAAATTTTAAGAAAAGAAATATACGCAGACTTTATCACTGTTTCTTTCTTTTGTCAAGACATACTTAACAAACGAGACTTAGAAAAATTAATAAGAGCAAACAGATCTATCAAGTCATCAGGGAAAACGCTCTACTGGAAAGTCTCTTTAGGTTATTCAGAAAGCCCACAACAGTCTTTAAGGGGTCCCTCATAGACGGAAGGGTTCCACTTTAGCATTTGGTTAAAAGTATGCCACATATTACCAGCTTTTACCTGGTTTAGCGTGCCAGTCCCATCCTCCTGAAACATCTGGCTGAATGTTCACAGCAGGTGTACTAGAAGCTGTAAATGGAGAAAGGCAAACAGTCAGTACAAGATTCTCAGAACAAGATGCTGGGAATCAAACTCGGGTTGGCTATGTGCAAGGCAAACACCCTACTCCCTGTACTATCGCTCTAGCCCCTCCAGCACTATCTCTTTATTCAGTCTCCCTGCCCCCACTTTTGTAAGTCTTAACTTGTCTTTCAATATTTGTAAAAGGGGATTAATGATTCTTATCCTATAGAGTTGATTAAGTACAGCAGACAGGGCATTTGCCATGCCCATGGCTGACTCAGGTTCAATCCCTCGCATCCCATATGGTCCTTCAAGCACCACCAGGAATAATTCCTGAGTGCAGAACCAGAAGGGGTACCCCTGAGCATCTCTGGGTATGGTCCAAAAAGAAAAAAAAAGATTCTCAGAACCTACTGAGTTCACACAAGTAAAAGATGGCCCTTGTAGGATGTTGCATACTGCCAAGATTCCAAGTCACTTGTCTTTACCTCTGAGCACTTGCCGCGCTCCCAAACACCGAGGAGGTATATTGCATCTACATCTACTGACATGAATGTTTGTAGAGGCCAGTATTACTTGTCACAGTACCTCCTTTGGGTTAATATCCATTTACCTCCATATGTAGACACCTTGGATTATAACTGTGCACATGCTTATCTCCATTAAACTGTGAGCGCCTTGAAGATAATAAGCATCTTAATTAATCTCTGTGCGTTCCACATCTCCACTCAATAGGAAAGAAGTGAGTGGGCAAAGGTAAAAGATAAAAACCTTTGATACAACTCAATTCATCTTAGGTTGGTATTAATAATGACATAGCATGAACTAACAATGTATTAATCCTCCACTGTATCATGAATTGAGAATGATCTAGCACAGGTATTAGTGCTGGTGCCCATTCAGTATAAATGGTGTCAGAAATGTGCCCATTGTTAACTCAAGCTCACTGCACCTTCAAAAGAGATTACATCCCCTCTCTCAAAATTCCAAGTGTACACTTCTCAGCTAAAGAAAGTTTCAGTTGAGCAGGATCAGGTAAGAAGAATACATGTTGGTTGAGTAAGCTGTCTCCATCTCTACTAAATCCAAACAAGAAATAGGATGCTGGGTCAGAGTGATAGTTTGATGGGATGAATGCGTGCATGAGTCCTGGGTTTGATCCCGGCAATGCATGGTCCCCTCAATGCATAGCACAGAACCAGAAGTAGCTTGAGCACTGCTGTGTGCAGTCCAAAAATCAAAAAATAAGTATACAGCATGCCTTAAGAAACTGATTCTTTTGAAGGCATCTGTAGTTTCTGCCCATAAAATAAGTAAAACTCAAATACTAAACCTTTAAAACACACACATGATGGGGCTGGAGCCATAGCACAGCAGGTAGGGCATTTGCCTTGCATGCGGCCAACCCTAGTTTGATTCCCAGAATTCCATATGGTCACTACTAGAAGTAATTCCTGAGTGCATGAGCCAGGAGTAACCCCTGTGCATCACCAGATGTGACCCCCCCCAAAAAAGAAAAAAAAACGCATGCATGTATGCACATAAATACATTTTTCTACCTCCACCAACAAAAGAATCATCAAATCACCAAGATTGCATTCCCATGCTTTTTATTCATTTCTTTGGTTTGCTTAGCACAAATCAAGACATCTTGTGTCTTCTCATTATTAAGTCAAAAAAGACAAAGCCATTATCAGCAATAAGTATTCTTTCCCTTTTATTCCTTTCCCCCAGAGTAATTCATGAAAACTGCTGTAAATATTAGATCATTTTGCTAACAATTTTTGTCTTATTTTCTGTGAACTCTGATCTTGTTTTACATCTCTTGCATCCAACTGGGACTTGCAGAACTAGATGCAATTAAGTTCAGGACTATTATTAACCAAGTCCACAAATATGTAGGAACCACCACATGTAAGGGAACATAATAGGGAACAGGAAACTAGAAGACATATTGCCCATCTGCAAGCAACTTAAAATCTCTTGTTGATAGGGAATAAATTAAAAATCAATTACCTCATAAACTTAATCTCTATTTTACCTTTTATTGTGGTTGCTTACATGTGCTTATACTATTTTCTAATTATTCTCTTCAGAGGAGAGGTTCAATAAATATCTGTTGATCTCAAGGGCAGTATTTCTTGTATTTCAGAAGAGATGAATGGTGCCCTGTGGAAAGCGCGCCAAGGGCCTGAAAGGAGGCGATCTGATTCCTAATCTAACCTCAAATCGCCTCTATGTTATACTAAACGAAGATGATGCAGCCTGACAATGGAATCATTGCTCTGCTAGTCAAGATAATAGACAAATTCTCTCGACTCACTAGCATTAGACAGACCCTCATGAGAAGTGAGGCCACCCAAACCAAGGCCTGCAGGCCTCGCCGAAACAGGGTGAGAAACAACACACGAACCAAACGACATGAAAGGAGCAGATGCCGGGACTGGAGCAATAGCACAGCGGGTAGGGCGTTTGCCTTGCATGCAGCCAACCCGGGTTCGATTCCCAGCATCCCATATGGTCCCCTGAGCACCGCCAGGGGTAATTCCTGAGTGCAGAGCCAGGAGTGACCCAAAAATATAAAAAAAAAAAAATTAAAAAAAAAGAAAGGAGCAGATGCCAAAATGTCGGAAAAGGCATGAACATCTACGCTTATGAGACCATAACAGTAGGAAGTTTCTCCAAATACTACAGTCAGAGGGTTCATATTGGGGGTTTGCCTGACCTTATAAATGCTATCACTGTGCATCAAAAGACATTGGGAGGGAAAGAAATTAAATCAGTCCCTACCAACATATTAGATAGAAAGGAAGATGGTAGGGTCAGAGAGATAGCACAATGAGCAGGGTTCTTGCCCTGCATGCAGTCGGCCTGGGTTCAATCCCGGCACCACGTATAATCCCTCAAGCCCTCCACAGGTGCTCCCTGGGTACAGAGCCAAGAGTAAGCCCTGAGCACAACTGCATATGACTCCAAAACAAAAGAAAAATAAAGGAAGACAGTACTTGCTGTGTGCTGTGCATTCTTATAGGCACTGAGGAGACACCAATGAAAAAATAACACGCAAATCAATACTTCGTCTGCTGGACGTTGAAAATGACAATGGAAAGGAAAATGCAGAGTGTGCAAAGGTAGTATTGTTAATTTAGAAAGGAGCAGTCAGGGTAGACTCCACTAAGAAGGTGCTACCTGCACCAAGATTTGAAGCTGACGAGAGAGTTAGCAGAGACGATATCTGCGGAAAAGAAGACAGCCAAGAGCCCAATGTGAATGGAATGGAGAGGTCAGAGGGTGAGGACAGGAGATGAGGTCATAGACAATGGGGTCTTGGCTACAGTCTCTGAAGGTCATGTGGAGAACTTTGGCTTCCCTGGAGAGTGACCCTGGGAGACATTTTGAACAGAATAGGGACATATTTTACCCCAGTTTTAGTAAGTGGCATAAACACAACAGCCTTAAACTATATCCCTGCAACTTTCCTGCCAGGACAACCACTTTGCAGTCAAGACACTCTCTTAAGTGGGGATGACTCAAGGGTGATGGGTGAACTTGCTGCCTGTTGTTCTATGCTGCCTGTTGTTCTATGGCCCCATGATGAGCAGTCTGAGTCCAGCTGGACATCAACCATCCAGGTAGTTCCTGTACTGAGTCTCATTTTCAGTCAAGTTACAGTTTGACCACTGTTACACACATTCATCTTTTTAAAGGCATCCGTGTCATTTCTGTGACGTCAAGCTGCTGACTGGAATATTTTCCAGACAAGTTTAGGGTGCTTCCAACAGGACACTGACCTCAAGGTTGAGACCAATAATATTCAAGTGTTTTTTTTTTTCTTTTGGGGTCACACCCAGCGATGCACAGGGGTTACTCCTGGCTTGCACTCAGGAATTACTCCTGACAGTGCTCGGGGGACCATATGGGATGTTGGGAATCGAACCCGGGTCAGCTGTGTGTAAGGCAAACACCCTACCTGTTATACTATTGCTCCAGCACCTCAAGTGCCTTTTAAACTGAGAATGAGTTCCAAGTGTCTAGCTCAAAAACACTCTGGAGGGCTGTAGCTCTCTCAGCGTTACCTAAGAAACACCCTTTTTCACCTTTTCTTCCCCCACACTCTTGGTTTCTAATAGAATGTGGGTCACATGTATAATTATGTTTTTTCTATTTGTCACATTTACAAAGGTAAAAAGACACACAAAATTTCATAATATCTTATTTAACCTGCCATATTCAAAATATTATCTTAACTAGTCACTATAAAAAATTCACGAGCTATTTTGCATTACTTTTTTGAACTAGGATTTGAAATCTGGCATGGTTTCTTTTATACGTAAGTGTATATCAAGTCAGATTTGCCATAAATCTAGAGCTCAACAGCCACAAGTAACCTGTGGGGTTATATTAGCAGGATTGCTCTAACACCTCGAGATGCTGTATTCTAAGCTTTGTTCTGTGAAACACTTATTTTGTTGAATGCTCGATCATGTTGTATTAATCTGGGACTCATATTTTTCCACATTTCAAAGATTTATCCAATGTAGATGCATCTTCCAGTCAATTAAAATTGGCAGCATTTTTCTTCCTCTCAAAAATAATGACCAACAATTCCACAGTCCAATAGCACGTTTTAAAGCAGTACAATGAATTTAACCAAGCTTCTTTATTGACATTTCAGAGCTTTTCATCTATTAATGCGAATTGGTTCCTTTCCAAAAGAAAAATGCCTCCTCTAGCTTTTCCAAAACGCAATGCCCACAGGCTGTTTTCATATGTGACCACCTCATGAATTCTGTGGAAGACTGTTCTACTGAACAAAAATATAAAATACTTCCTTACCATGCACTGTAGGTGAGGGACTTCTTGTAGGCTGAAGAAAGGGGTCACTGGAAGTATTAGAGGTGCTCAGAAAAGAACCCAGCAAGTCTTGACCTGCTGGTTTAGAGGGTGCTCCAAATGGGTCAAAGGTGGTACCTGGAAAACAATAGGAAAAAATGTATTTCTTAATATTGTGAGTTCATCTATTCAATACCTAAGATTTGCCAGGCTTGAGGCCAAGTACTTGAAAAACTGAGACAACGTTTTCTGGGTCCATCCTGTCCCTAAAATTTCCTCCAGGGTTAACAATGGATTCCAGGGATTTCCGATCACACGTGAATAATCTCATCTTTGTGGACCAAGGAAGTATCTGGATTTATCTGTAGAGGACCATTCAGACTAAATGAGAGCTTCCTGGAACTTTGGGCATTTAATACTATAAGTCAACCAAGTTTATTGGTTAATGAAGAAGACATGGGCAACACAGATAAAGTAACAGGTGGCAAAACCAATATATTAACTAGTAGGAGGTACTTAGTGAATGAGCATGTTTATGTGTTTATGTTGAACATATTAGTGAACAAGTACCAGGTGGATATGTGTTGAGGTGGGGGGTTGCTATTAATAATGCAAATAGTAAAAAAATCTCACTGACTTGTTGATTTTATTTATTGTTTTGTTTTGGGGCCACACGTGGCTGTGCTCAGGGCTTATCCTGGCTCTGTGTTCAAGGATCTCTCCTAGAAGGCTTGGGAGACCATATGGGATCCCAGGGATAGAACCTGGGTCAGCCGGGTACAACGTAAACACCCTACCGAACTGAACTATCGCTCCAGTCCCAGATCTTGTTTCTCTTAGTTTTGTGTTTTCAGTAAGTCTCTGACTCCCCTGAAAGTTAAAATGAAAAGATTATGATTGTAACAGAAATTAGACTTTGACAAAGTCTATGTCCTATAGAACACTGCCTCTCTATCACATCCTAGAAGCTAGACAATAGTGAAGGAGGGAAAGTTGGTAAATGAACTGGAGAAAAGTGAAGTATCCAGCAAAAATGCAAGAACAGAATGGTTCATCATTTCTCTTTTCATTTGCGGTGTGGGTTCATATCCAGCGATGCTCAGGGGTTGTTCCTGACTTTGCACTCAGAAATTACTCCTGGCAGTGCTCAGGGGACCAGGAGACCATGTGGGATACTTAGGATTGAACCCAAGTTGGCTGCATGCAAGGCAAACTACGTACCCGCTGTACTATCGCTCCAGTTCTGGTTCATCATTTCTTTAGACTTTCCATTATTTTTCATTAAAAAATTGCCCCAACTGGGGGCTGGAGCAATAGCACAGCGGGTAGGGTGTTTGCCTTACACACGGCCAACCTGGGTTTGATTTCCAATTCCCAGCATCCCATATGGTCCCCTGAGCACCGCCAGGGTAATTCCTGAGTGCAGAACCAGGAGTAACCCCTGTACATGGCCGGGTGTGACCAAAAAAGAAAAAAAAATTGCCCCAACTGAGTTTCAGTACTTCCCTGTCAGGGCGGCAATACCGTTATTCCACAATTAAACTGAGTTCTGGGAAGTCAAGTATTTTCTCCAGTATCAAATACAGCTGGAATTCACACTCAAGTCTGAATCCGAATTAGGGGATTTCTTGAAAGCACTTCACATGCCTCACAGGTTTGAAGTGAATGTAAGCAATCTGAATGTTCTGCTGTGCACAGTTGTATGCATAAAACTGTCCATTAATTTCTCATCATTGGGTAAGAAACAAAACTTCCTTTAGCTCCCTGTAGGATGTCACTTTCCTAATGTTTTAAGTCTCCAGCTAATGAACTGGAGTGGGAGTGACCTGGTCTAGAACAGATGTATCAAACCCATCAATAATCCACTTGCAGTAATCAGGCATAAGGTTTAATGACTTCCTAGACATATTTTTAAAAAAAAGTATGAGATTAATTCTCATACTTTCACGGCCGCGCGACATCTTATCATCTCATTCCTACTTTGGATAAACTGCAGGCTACTGAATGTAACCTACCCACATGGCAGAGTCTGGCAATCTTCCCGTGGCGTACCCAATATGCCAAAAAACCAGTAACAATAAAGGGTCTCATTCTCCTAACTCTGAAAGAGCCTTGAATATGGCACTTTTTAAAAAAATCTCAGGGCTAGGACGAAGGAGACCACGTTACTGGGGCCTGCTCGAGGCAATCGACGAATAACAGGATGGTTGTGATTGTGATTGATTGTGATGAGATTAATATCCAGAGCCTGGGAAAACAAGGGCCAGGAGCATTGGTCATGGTTGGAAGCTTGCCACAATTGGGGGGGCGGGGGGGGGGAGCGGAGAGCATTCAGGATAGAGAAGGTACCAGGATGAAAATAATGGCTGGAAATTAGGTCTCTGGACAAGAACTGAGTGTTGAAAGTAGGTAAAGGGATATACGTGAGAACCTTTCAGTATCTGTATTGCAAATCATAATGCAGAGAGAGAGAGAGAGAGAGAGAGAGAGAGAGAGAGAGAGAGAGAGAGAGATGAAAAGTACTTGCCTTAGAGGCGGGGGTGGTGGGGAGGGCACAGGAGAGCAACTGGGAACGTTGGTGGTGGGAAATGTACACTGGTGAAGGGACCAGTGTTGGAACATTATATGACTGGAACCTACTCAGGAACAACTTTGTAACTGTGTATCTCACTGTGATTCAATTAAAAACATTAATTTAAGAATGTTTAAAATATTTTTTTAAGTTAGTAGGCTAAATACTTGGAAGGAAACTTTAGTGAATAGAAGAGACAGCTGAGAATAAATTATAATCAGTATGTCAAAAAAATTATTTTCTTGACATAGCAGAGTATCCTTTGGGGGCGGGGGGGAGAGGCTTCTCCTAAGGGCGCTCACCCAGGGGCTCCTCCCAGGGATTCTCGGCTAACTAGGCTGGAGGCTCGTCAAGAGGGCCTGAGGATTTGCTGCTGCTCAGGCCCTGCAGTCCGATGAACAACACGGGCCACCCCAGAGATAGCCCAGGGGATGCCATGACACAGCTGGTGTTGCTTAGGGGGCCTTCAAGGCTTCTCCAGACAATGCTCAGGGGACATGTGGTGATGGGGTCAAACCAGGCCCATTACAAGCAGGTATGAGCCTTAACCCCTACGCTATTTCTCCAGCACCCCAGAGAGTAGTCTTATGTGGCTGTAACGGTATCCACTCTAAGTCTGGCATGATACATACTCAATATGTATCTCTGGCCTAATTTAAAACTCCCTAAACTTGATCCCATCTACAAAGTGAGAATACAACAGAGATTTATCAACTAGTACAGAGATTTATGAGAGTTCGAGGACACCGGGTTAATCCTACAATGTCTAAAACTGAACCCAATTAGGGAAAGACGCCAAAATCTCACTATTTTTGGTACAATTTTAATAACAATTTATATTCAATTAGAGGCTTTCTCCAACAACTTTCCGGTGCTGCAACACAAATGGACTGTAATTCCCTATTTTCTCCATTTATAAATGGGCACCTTTATACTAGTACCTACGTACTGGTATTTTTAAGAAGTAAATCCATGTTTGGGGTTAAATCCTATGTCAGGCAAATAGTAAGTATACCACAAATGTTGGCTCTGACTGTTCATTTTTTAGCCCAAATCTCCATACAGAAGTACTTAAATAAGCTCTGGGATCTGTGTCCTGAAAAAAAAATTAAAATAAGAGCAAGATGCTCATTTTTTCTTTTCTTTCTTTTCTTTTCTCTCTCTATTTTGTTTTCTTTTGTTTTGGAGCCATACCTGGCCGTTCTCAAGGCTTATTACTGGCTCTGTGCTCAGGGATGACTCCTGGAAATACTCAGGGGACCATATGTGATGCCAGGAATAGAATCCAGGTTGGCTGTATGCGAGGCAAGTGCCTTCCCTACTGCACTATCTCTCTGGCCCCAGAGAAGCTCAAATTTCCAGTCTTGGATTGTGCGACCCAAATGAAAAACAGTTCCAGTTCTTCCTGTATTTCTCAATTAAATGAAGATATAGCCATCCAAGAGCCAGGGAGATCAGGGGGAAAAAATCATTTGCTTCTCGTGGAGGTGGCAAATGATGGGAGAGAAACTGGGGACTCAGGTGCTGGGAAATGTACACAGGTGGAGGGGAGGGTGCTGGAACACTGTATGACTGAAACCTAACCATGAACAGCTTTGTAAGGGTCTATCTCACAATGATTCTATTAAAAAATCATAAATAAATAGAATTTTTTTGCCTTTTTGGGGGTCACAGCTGGCGATGCATAGGGGTTACTCCTGGCTCATGCACTCAGGAATTACTCCAGGTGGTGCTCAGGAGACCATATGGGATGCTGGGAATCGAACCCAGGTCGGCGGCAGGCAAGGCAAACTCCCTACCCGCTGTGCTATCACTCCAGCCCCAATAATGAAATTTTAAGGAAAAAAATCTGCTTAGTACCGTCTACTTTGCTCAAAGACTGCACGATAACACTGAGAAGTATATTCAATATTGGGTCTGGGGGTGGGGCAGGGAAGGGTGAATTACCTTCTTGAGGTCCAGGAATTGGCTCAGGAACTAAACAAGCACATGCCTGCCTGGAAAGTGTGCAACCCTGGCCAGCCAGATTGTGAGCAACATGGCGATTCACCCCCAAAATCTCTCTAAGTAGAGTGTGTGCAACTGAGTGAGTGTGTGGAGCCCCTGTGAAGTGTTTGTGTGTACAACAGCAGGATGCCAAGTGTGCAACCCCCACTCCCACTCGAAGCACTAGAACGACGGTATACCCTAGTACCCCCCACCAGGCAGCCGCAGCCTCTATCGCTGTCCACCCCCCCTACTGCTCACCCCCCACCATCCCAGTGGCCACGGAGGAAAGGGGCCGGGGGAGAGTCACCTTCGCCCACTCTCAGGGTCGGGGACGCCGAGGTGGAGGTGGCCGCGCGGCGAGGCGTTGACTGCGTGGACGCCGGTCCACTGGCATGGAAGACGTCGTCCACCCCCGGCTGCCCAGCAGGGGCGAAGAGGTCACTCAGCAGTTCCGAGTTGGAGGGTGGTGCAGCGGGCGGGGAGAAGGCCTTGCTCACAGCCGAGCCCTCGAGGCCCAGCAGGTCCACGTCCTCGGGCGGAGGCGGGGGCGCGGCCGGTTCGGGCTGCCTCTTGCCGGCCTTCCTGGCCCCTCCGTGCGGCTTGTCCCCATTGGCGTTGCCGTGCGGGCTGGACAGGGTCAGCAGCTCGTCATCCGACTGCTCGCTCTCCTGCTTCACCAGCGCCGCGTGGTCTTCCTCACCGAAGGATTTCTCCGATTTCTGATCTGAAAGAGGTCAGGAGGCCCACAGAGGTCTTAGTGACTGACTGGCCACAGCCTGGCTGGTGGGCAGGAGAGGGCATGACCCGCTCTCCAGAAACAGAGGGGGCAGGGCCATGAGCTAATTGGCCTGCAGCACCTTACGGGGGACTGGATATGAGGAAACTGCATTTACTTCTTGGAAAAATAGGATGTACCCAGGATGTCTGGTTAGTGTTTGTTGAGTACCTTGTATGTTTTATATTACTTATTTGAGGGCATGAGATGGAATCATTTCTTTCCTTTCTTTTTTTTTTCTTTTTCTTTTTATTTATTTATTTATTTATTTTGCTTTTTGGGTCATCCCTGGTGATGCACAGGGTTTACTCGTGGCTCTGCAATCAGGAATTATCCCCAGCAGTGCTCGGGGGACCATATGGGATGCTGGGAATCGAATGCCGGTAGGCTGCGTGCAAGGCAAACGCCCTACCCGCTGTGCTATCGCTTCAGTCCCCGGAGTCTTTTCTTGATTTCTCTGTGTATCAAGTGGAAAGAGAAATCACAGGGAAGATTCTAGAAGACAACATGCCCATAAACACAGAAAAGATGTAACACAAAATAGCTTAAATGGTTTTTTTTTTTCTTTTTAGGGAGACTGGGGGAGCTTTGGGCCACACCCAAAGGAAATGCCCAGAGGTTACTCTTGGCTATGCACTCAGGAATTACTTTGGGCAATGCTTGAGGAACAACAGAGGATACCGGGGATCAAACCCGGTTGGCTGCATGTAAGTGCCCTACTCACTGTACTATCTCTCCGGGCCCTGGTTTTGTTTTTCAAAAAAAAACATCAGGTGAAGAGTGTTCATGGAGTTGAAAGGAGTGAAGTAATTTCTTAGGACCTGGTTTGAAAATGAACTGAGGTGGGGAGAGAGTGAACTAAGGTTGAATCAGGATGACTTCTAAGTGCTGCTATGCCTTCAGCTACTTTGGGGATGAATCTTCTTTAGAGTAGAGCCATGTACTTAATTGGGGCTGGAGCGATAGCACAGTGGGTAGGGCATTTGCCTTGCACGCAGCCAACATGGCCAACCTGAGTTCGATTCCTCCGCCCCTCTCGGAGAGCCCGGCAAGCTACCGAGAGTATCTCGCCCGCACGGCATAGCCTCGCAAGTTACCCGTGATGTATTCGATATGCCAAACACAGTAACAACAGAGTCTCCAATGGAGACGTTACTGGGCCCGCTCGAGCAAATCAATGATCAACGGGAGGGCCTTTACCTTTTTTACCTTTATGACTAAAAGAAATGCTTGGAAGTACCTTGCCAACAGAGAGAGGAGAAGAAGCCACCTTGCCCGAGCTGCCTGGAGTGATCTGGGGGGAGGTCTGCTGGAGCCTGTCCTGCAAGACAAAAGGCCAGTGAGACACAGGAACTAAGTGCAGGGGAGAAGCAACACAGAGGTGCGGTCCTCAGCACAGAGCCACCGGAGGACTCCTACCTCCCAAGGCCAGCGTATCCTGGTGCTCCTGGTGAGACGAGAAGAGGATGCTGGGGTTGACATCTTTTGTGCAGTAATGTTCCCATGGAGGGGTTAAGTCTACCACTTTGTCATGGGGCTGCAGTTCCACATCCAGAGTCACCTGAAATAGCTGAGGATATTTTTCTGGTACATCACATGCATCCAACTCTGGCCTAGGCAGGGATTTGAAAGAATGAGATCCATGAGAAACAGCAGAATTAGAACACTATTCAGCACAGAAACCATTGTAGGCGGCCATGTTTACTGCATGCGCACACGTGTGTGTGTGTGTGTGTGTGTGTCTATGTGTGTGAGTACGCACACACACTGCTGGGGATTAGACCCGGAGCCTCACACATCCCTGGCTGCCTGAAGGCTAACTTTTAGTCCAGGTCATTCTGAGACACATTGCTAGGGAAAATCAATCTCTAACTGAGTTACTCTGAGTCTCAGTTTCCTCATTTAGATAACAAAAGGGGGGAAATGCCTCCTTATAGGCTACATGAAAAGCGGTCTAGAGAGCAGGCCTGATATCAGAATGCACTGGCATGGCCCAGTCAGTTGTTAAAATACTGGAACAGGCCCAAAGCCACGATCTAGGCCCATAAGCTCTACTCCACCCCCAATCTCACCTACTCCCACCTGCCACCATACACAAAGCCACCACCTTTCATCCCCTAGACCTATACTATAAAACTAAGGGTCCATAGCTGGAGAGAAAGGTCCCCCAAGACACTGCTTAAGAGTTGGCATGTGCCAGGGAAAACAGGGGTTAGGAGGACTGGTCAGTGGTTGAAACTAACCATAAGTGTGTGTGTGTGGGGGGGGGGGGGGTGGAGGGTAGGTAAGATAGAGAAGAGACTGGTATGACAAAAACAGCTGGGAAAGATCATGCTGGACAAGATCTGAGGGTTGAAAGTAGGAAAAGGGATATTCTTGATAACTTTTCAGTATCATGCAAATCACAATGCCCAAAAGGGGGGGGGGGGAGAGAGAGAGAGAGAGAGAGAGAGAGAGAGAGAGAGAGAGAGAGAGAGACTGACAGACAGAGACAGAGACAGAGAGACAGACAGAGAGAGAGAGACATAGAGGCAGGCAGGGAATGAAGCATGTGGGGATGATGGGAGGGAACCTGAGGACACTAGTGCTGGGAAATGTACACTGGTGGAGGGATGGGTGTTGGAATACTGTATGATTGAAATCCAATCATAAACAGCTTTGTAAGGGTCTATCTCATAGTGATTCAAAAAAAAAGTTGGTAAGTGCATTCTCAAGGGCCAATGTTTCAGTATTCCATGGATTAAACGCTGGACACGCAAAAAAGATACACAGGTATACTGGGTTATAGTCTTCTAATACTTGACTCCTGTTTTCTCGGATGGAATTCTAGACCTTACTCTTTGAAGTTCTTGATCCTTTTATTCATTACTGGCAAATCATACCCAACAGAAAGTTCCAAGATGTAACCAGCCTTTGTATGTTTCTAAGTCATGCTTTGTAGTCCCATAGTACAGGATTCTGGGGGTACTGCTCCCATGGCATGGTACCTATGACTTTCAGGCACTGGACACCCAGTATTCCATCGTTGCTTTGACTGGAAAGTTTCCAGTCTAAATAGCACTCACTTGGTAAACTTTAAGACGGTGGTTTCCAGCGGTATGAATCCCGTATGAAACTGAAGCTGGAATATCTGTGTATTGGTCACCTAAAAGAACAGGAGAGAGACACACACGATCAGTGACTAGAGAATCTGGTCAAGATTATCTTGTGGAGTGTCACACTCTTGCAACTGTGTCTACATCTGAATTGAGTCTGGCTGTGGCTGATGAAAGACAGCCCCACCTGGAACTGGCTCAGTTCATTTCCAGCCTCTCTCCTACGAAATCTGGTGCCATTTCCTCATTGGAACATTGCCATACTATCATGCACCCCACTGATCCCTCCAGGATTGTCCTGCTCCACCCTAATCACCTCTCAAAGAGCATGCCTTCCTGGCAGCCTTTCTGGGGCCCCACAAACTAAAACCAATGAGTAAGAGCATCTTATCCTACTGCTCATCTCCTGGAGGAGAGCTGCATGTGGAAATTTCTCCTGCTAGGCTGACCTCCTCAAAGGCAGGAATACAGCTGTTGTTTTGTTTGGGGGTCACACACACTTGGGAAGCTAGGGATAATTAGAGGTTGCTCTGGGTGCCTGGGTCGGGATCAAAACTTGGGTAGCTGCATGCAAAATATGTGACCCAGCCCTTTGAGCCACTCCCCAGACCCAGGGATAGTCTTACACTCGTTAACCCTAAATTCTTGGGCAATGACTAGCAACATACATGCCTTTAGCAAATATTTGATGAATGGAAACATGATTAAAGCATTATTCAAAATATTCCAAGAGTACCAATAATTCAATGCTCAACAACTGATAAAGTGATTCATAAAAATTGGAACAGCCATACCAAGGGATATGATATGATCATATAAAGGAGTGAAGAGCTGAGATAACCTACAATAAGATGAACCTCAAAAGCATTATGCTAAGTAAAAGAGGCCACTAGCAGGAGACCATATATTGTGTGATTCATTAAATGGAGTTTCCAAAATATATACACCATAGGGGGCTGGAGCAATAGCACAGTGGAAGGGCATTTGCCTTACAAGCAGCCAACATGGCCGACTCGAGTTCGATTCCTCTGCCCTTCTCGGAGAGCCCGGCAAGCTACCGAGAGTATCTCGCCCGCACGGCAGAGCCTGGCAAGCTACCCGTGATGTATTCGATATGCTAAAACACAGTAACAACAAGTCTCATGATGGAGACGTTACTGGGCCCGCTCAAGTAAATCGATGAACAACGGGAGGACCGTGACCGTGATACACCCATAGAGTATAAAAGTAGATTAGTAGTTGCCTAGGAAATGGAAGAGGAGGAATGAGCAAAGACAGGTAAAGGGTGCAGGTTTTCTTTGGGGGGTGATGAAATATTCTGGAATGAGAGGTAACAAGCTTTAGGAAAAGAAAACTGCATTTAGTGCTTTTTTCAAAGGTATATTTTATGTTATCACACTACAATTTTGAAAGACTATACAATCACTTGATTGCACATTCTTAATAAAAATATGTTTCCAAACACTGATTAACTAGGATGCAATCAATGCAGCACGTGCTTCGAAAGGGCAGGTTTTGCTAGAAGTTCAGGGCTACCCCCTTTTGGTAATACTGCACTGGAAACTGTGGAAAGTCACAATTTCCCTGAGCCTCATTTTCCTTCCCTATAGAGTAAGGGAGTGGAACGTGAGCAACCTCCAAGGTTCTAATTCTAAAATGCGAAGTCAGCCCAAAGGGATACAGAGAAAAGGCTCTGAAACACTCTGTAATTAAGGGCTGAGAGGAGCTGATGCCATCCCTTCCTGAAACTATACCTTAGCCTGCAACCGGCTCCCGATGGTTGACCTCATGTGGTACATGGAAACCACCACATCTCCTTGCACCGTGATATTCAAGGGAATGAAGATTTTCCCATCTTGAACACGATATTCCCTTTAAACAGAGACAAAAGCACGAAGTGAAAAACAGTCCAACCAGGTAGCATCACACAGGTGCACTTTTCTGTGGCTCCGACACTAAGAACCTGTTTGCCTGGGCCTGGACCCAGAAACCGTTTCTTGAGAAAAATCTGGAGCACAGCCAGTGCCAGGGATGCAAACTGACTCTGCCCAGGGCTGATGTTGGTCTGATACCCTTCTTGCCCCATGATCCCATTTGGACTTCCAATCATCCCATCCTCATCTACACTCTTCTTCCTCAAATACGTATAGCCCTTATGTATTGCCTTTGAACTCCAAAATAATCGTAAAGGCAGAGAAAGTGAGAACCCAAAGGTCAGTGAGATACAGCAATGCCACTTTCCCAAAGGGTCTAATACCCACTCTCAAATTCAGCACATTCTAAGTCACCATCTCACCACACCTTTTGCCACCTCCCACTGGCACCTGTTCTTTATTATGGCTCCTAGGACATCTTTTGTCATATCACCGTAAGGGCGAAACTGACACCATGACAGGAGGCAGAAATGAGAAAAATCAGGTAGACCTCAGGTTTAGTTCCTGGGACTGAAACAGTCCCGGTGTCCCAGCCATGAAACAATGTGTAACTGGCCCACCTGAACCCACCTGGGAAAGTTCCTGGGCTCAGCAAGTGGGTTCAATCAATCAATTCTCACAATCCCCAGAAATTGTCTTTTGTTAACCCTAAAAGAATGAGTAGCTTATGTAACCATAATCTGTTACTGGAAATGATTGCTTAACTATTGACTGACCACTGTTACCTTAGACACTTTCCAAAACACTTTTGTTTGGTAACTAAGATTTTTCTTTAACAATAAGGCATATATTGCTTATGTAACCCTATAGAAACTGCTTGCTGCCTGAAGTTGAGGTCGCTATCAAGAGACCACTCTGTGGGCGATATAGTTGACCACAGTTAACTGGAATAAAACTCCTTCTTCTTTTGCATTATCATGTTTGTTTGTGATTACCATATGGGATGCTGCTTGAGAACCCAAAGTCCCGGGCTTAACAACCACCACAGCCTCCCTTGATTTAGCAACACTTTTCTATGATGACCAGAGATGCTGAACACTCCTTTTAAAAATAGAAATCACTTCAAAGTAAGGTGTCTTCATGGGAAGGAAACGATACATTGACCTGGTTAAGTGTCAAGACTTACTTCATTCGCTCGAAATCCGTGCAAGTTGTATAGATTTTGGTTTCTCCTATCAGTACATCACAGTAAGGGCGACATCCATTTCTCTGTTTGTTAAAAAAGGGGATTGGACTGACAGTGATGGACTTAATGGTGAGAGGCTTGAAGTGAGGGCGGTAGGGCTTATCAGCTAGCAGGTCACACATATAGCCCAGGTATCTGAAACAGAAGTGTGCCATTCAATCAGTGCTCATTTCACGTATAGGAAGAAAAAAAAAAATCAAGCCCTGCTGTGAAGTTTGCTCTTGACAATGATTTTCATGACACAAATTTTACTGTTAACTTTTTAAGTATAAACCAACAAAAATTATGCAGCCAATAATTAAGAAAGCTTTGTATCTACTGACTGCACTTTTCTACAAAATGATAATGGGTTTTTTTTCATGAGGATGTTTATTGGAGTTTTATATTAGTTTTATATTAGCTCAACACTTGAGCTTCTATTCATATCCAGCAAATTAATTTTACAGCTAAGCACTGGCTTTACATTTTTTCCAAAATTTATTACTTAGAAGTATTTCTCCCGAAAGAGTAAGGAGATACAATTTGAAGGGGGTGGAGGGAAGGGAAGAAATCATAACCAAGGAGAAAGTTAGTATTTGGTTACCTTTGACAATGTGTTTTCTTTTTTGGTAGATGGGGGATTCAGGCCATACCCAGCAGTGCCCAGGGTGTACTCCTGGTTCTGTGCTCAGAGGACTATATGTGATGACAAAGATCAAACTAGATCTGCTGCATGCATGACTAATATCCTAGCCTCTATACTATCTCTAGTTTTCTTAAGTACATGATGCAAATTGCCCCCAGTCTGTGCCACCCCTTGAAGCTCACTGGATTTACCTCCGGTGGGACGGCGAAAGTCCGATTCCTGGTCGCTTTGCATATAGCAATCGAACTGCTGGGCCAGGAGTAGAGTAGAGATTACAGAAAATGAACATAGCACCAACCAGAATTGACGATGCTGCCCGCCCGTCCTGCCAAAGAAAATGCGCAAACATAATACAATCAGTCCCTTCCCCTTCTGAGCGGTGGTGGTGGTATTGGCAAGTAAATGGGAGAGAAGGAGGCGGTAGAGGGTGATGGACAAGAAGTATATCCTCAACCTGGAAAAGCTTTCAGTTAAAAGTTGTTTGAGGGGCTGGACCAATAGCCCAGTGGGTAGGGCGTTTGCCTTGCACGTGGTCAACCCGAGTTCAATTCCCAGCATCCCATATGGTCCCCTGAGAACCACCAAGAGTAATTCCTGAGTGCACAAGGCAGGAGAAACCCCCGTGCATTGCCAGATGTGACCCAAAAAGCAAAAAAAAAAAAAAATTGGGATTGCATGCAGGCATATGGGAGGTGCTGGGGATCAAAGTCTTTTCACCAGCTTCGTATTTGCAAGATTCTACCACTGACCCATCCACACGCCTCCTCTATGATACTTAATGTTCTGTAACAATTGGACAGGATTAAAAGGCATCCAGAGATCTGCTCAAGAAAATGACTTCTGGGTGTGTCCAAAGGCATTTATAAGAGATCAGCATGTGAATCAGTAAAGAGATCCTCATCAAAGCAAGTAGAGTTGAGGATCAAACAGAACAGAATGGAAAAGGAAGGACTGATTCTCTCCTCTCTCTCTGCTAGGGCTGAGACATCCACCATCTCCCCTGGGCCACTGACATGACTGGATCTTGGGTCTTTGGACTCCAGGACCCCGGAGTCTTTGAACTTGGACTAAACACTGTCATTAGCTTTTTGAAGGTCATTAGCTTTTTGAAGGTCTTTGTAAGAGCATGATGCTAGTATTTCTTATCCTTTCTAACTACATATGGCAATTTTCCTTTTTTGTGGTTTGGTTTTGGTTTGGGACCACACCTAGCAATGCTCAGGGGCTATTCCTTGACTTTGTGCTCAGGGATCACTATTGGTGGTGCTCAGGAGACCATATGGGATGCCGAGGATAGAATCTGAGTAAGCTGCAGGCAAAGCAAGCGCCCTGGGAGGCTGGAGGGATGATAGCACAGCAGGTAGGGTGTTTGCCTTGCGTGCGGCTGACCTGGGTTCGATTTCCAGCATCCCATATGGTCCCCTGAACACTGCCAGGGGTAATTCCTGAGTACAGAGCCAGGAGTAACCCCTGTGCATCACCGGGTGTGACCTAAAGAAAAAAAAAGTAAGTGCCCTGTTCTCTGGCCTCAATATAAGGTAATTTCTATACTAAATCTTTTCCAATATCTATAGATAGATAATATAGATATCCAGACAGACAGACAGACAGACAGACAGACAGACAGATAGATATCCTTTGGTTCTGTTTCTGGAGAACCCAAATTCCGACTGCCTTTCACTCCTCCTCATTTGACATTCCTAAGAGGTAACGTCATGTGATTTAACTCCTCTGAACAGATTCCAGTCTTCATAAAAATCTTTTCTTTTTATTGAGGTAACAATGGTATGCAAGACTACTCAATGGTATAATTACATGCCTCTCACTCAGTAAGCATATTCCTCTGCCACCACACATTAGATGCTGTCTACTCTTCAACTTTTTCCCACTTTAGTTACCTCAGTTCTGAGTCTGAGTTCAGGGTTTGTTTTCATTTGCCGTTGTTTCCTTGCTTTGATGATTTATATCCTACATCTGAGTGAGATTATCTGGTACTTGTCTTTCTCATTCTGATTTATTTCACTTGGCATGACCCCCTCAAGTTCCAACCAGGCTGATGCAAAAGTCAAGAGTTCATCTTTTCTCATAGTTTTCTCATATATTCATTGCCCCTGTGTATACAGACATCGTATTTATCAATCCCTCTATCTTTGATATTCAGGGGTTGTTTCCATTTTGTTGACTATTTAAAATAGTACTGCAATGAATATAAGGTGCATATATCATTACAAATTGGAGTTCTGTGTTCTTAGATATTTAGGAGCAGAATTACTTGGTGATATGGTAAATTTATTTTTAATATTTTGAGAAATCTCCATACTGTCTTCCACAGCAGCTGAACCAATTTACATTCTCATTAGTTGTGTATGAGTTTCCCTTTTTCTCTACACATCCACCATATTATGTCGGGAATCAAACTCAAGGTCTCTTGCAAGATAAGTACTGAAACTGAGTCACATCCCTATTTTTCTCTTGCTGACTCGAGTCCCTGGAGACCTCATGGAGGTTAGTATCATGGAGAGCTTTGTCTCTATTTTCTTCAATGTGATTTTATGGTTTCAGCTAGAACAGCCAGGTCTTGAACCCATTTTAGGTGAACTTTTATACATGATGTGCAAGAGCGATAGTTTCAGTCAACTGCAGATGGCAGTTTTCCCAAAATCACTTATTGAAGAGACTTTCCTTTCTCCATAACTGTTCAAGCCCTTTATCATAAATGAATTGTCCATATACTAAAGAACTTAATTCTGCTCTCTCAATTCTGTTGTGTTCGTATGTGTCTATTTTTATACCTGTACCACACTTCTTTAAAAATGTCACTAAAATTTTTAATTTTTATTTAGGAAAATCCTGGCTGTGCTTAGGTATCACTTCCTGGCAGTGCTCAAAAGACCACATGCAGTGCCATGGATCCAATCAGTCATATCCAAGGCAAGTACTTTTACCCCTTGTACTGTCTCTCTGGCCCTGTGATTGGAATTTTGATAGGAATTGCTCTTGAGTCAGTAAAGTACTCTGCTTTTGATATAAGGTAATACTGGCCTCATACAAAATATTGGGAAGATGAGTGGCCGAGAACAGATGACTGGTTAAAGAAACTCCGGTACATCTATACTATGTACAATGGAGTACTATGTACTATGCAGCTGTTAGAAAAGATGAAGTCATGAAATTTACATACAAGTGGTACTACATGGAAAATATCATGCTAAGTGAAATGAATCAGAAAGAGACGGACAGACATAGAAAGATTGCATTCATCTGGGGAATATAGAGTAACAAAATAGGAGAGTAACATCCCAGAATAGTCGAGTAAATTTACAGGAGGTTTACTCCATGGCTTGAAGGCCAGCCGCACATGCTAAGAGAAAAGGCAGCTCAGATAGAGAAGGGAACACCAAGTAAAGGGCGTTGGGAGGATCCTCCCAGGATGGGATATGCATGCTGAAAGTAGACTATAGACCAAACATGTTTGCCACTCAATGCCTCTTTTGCAAACCTCAGCAACCAAAAGGAGAGAGAGAACAAAAGGGAATGCCCTGCCACAGAAGCGGAATGGGATGGGGGTATGTGAGGGGTGGGAGGGTTACTGGGATTATTAGTGGTGGAGAATGGGCACTGGCAGAGGGATGGGTACTTGATCATTGTATGACTGAAACCCAAATACAAAAACTTGTAAGGTCAACAACTGTACCACATAGTGTTTCACTAGTAAAAAAAACTTTTTTAAAAATATTTTTTCTTTAAAAAAAATATGTTAGAAAGAATTCCCTTTTCTTCCATTTTTAGGTAGAGCTTGATAAGAACAGGTCATAGGTCATCTTTAAAGATTTGGCAGAACTCACTAGTGAAACCATCTGGCCCTGGGTTTTCATTTGGGGGTCTTGACTATTGGTTTCCTTTCCTTACTGATAATTGGTCTGTTTAAGTTTTCTATTTCCTCCTGATTCAGTCTTGGGAGATTTAAAGGTTCGAAGAATTTGTCTATTTCTTTTCGGTTCTACAACTAGACTTGGCCTAAATTGTTCTAGTAGTCTCCTATGTATGATCTCTTATATTTTTACACCTTTTGTAATTCCTTTGTTTTCTGATACCATTTATTGGGGTTTTATCTTTCTTATTAGGCCTAGTTAAGAGTTTGTTGATTCCTTTCAAGAACCAACTCCTATTTTCACTGATCCTTTAAAGTATCTTTTTTTATTGTCTTTTTTTTTTTTCTTTCTGGGTCACACCCAGCGATGCACAGGGGTTACTCCTGGCTCTGCACTCAGGAATTACCCCTGGTGGTGCTCAGGGGACCATATGAGATGCTGGGAATCGAACCTGGGTCAGCTGCGTGCAGGGGAAACACCTACTTGCTGTGCTATTGCTCCAGCCCCCTAAAGTATCTTTTTAAATTCTATTTTGTTTAATTTTGTTCTTTGAGTTTCATTTTTTCCTTTCTTCACTACTTTAGGTTATGAGATTGTTTCTCTGTGGTTCTTCTTGCTTCATTATATGCTACTTTGAACTTCCCTTTTATATTTTTTTTTGTTGCATTCCTTGTGTCCCAATAGTTCATTTGCTTCCACGAATTTTATTTCCTCTTTAACATAATAATTATTCAAAATCACTCTATTTGGTTTCTATATACTGAGGGTTTTTTTTCCCCAGATTTCTTTTTTTATTGCTAAGTTCTACTATTATAGCATGGAGACTCAAAAAGATAAGGCCAAAAAGATACTTAACATAATTTAAATTTCCATGATTTACTTAATGCTTGTTTTATATCCTAACATGCTATTTATCCTCAGGAATATTTCGTCTGCACTTGGGAAGAATGCATTCATCTTCTGAAGGGTGGAAACCCAGGAAATGTCTTTTAAGCCCATCTGGTCCAACCCATTTAAGACTGTTGTTTCTATGTTCATTTCCTGTTTAATTTGTCCATGGATGAGATCTGGATATTAAAATCCCTTCTGCTATCACTTGCTGTTGATGCCTCTCTTCACGTCTGTTAATAGCTGTTGCGTACATGTTGATTTTCTTTCATTTAATGTATATATGTTAATCAGTGCTGACCCCTTTAAATGGATTGATTCTTTACTCATAATTTAATGTCTGTTCTTGTCTCTTGTCAGAAACAATTTTTTTTCTTTTTTTTCTTTTTGGGTCACACCTGGCAATGCACAGGGGTCACTCCTGGTTCTGCACTCAGAATTACTCCTGGTGATGCCCAGGAGACCATATGGGATGCTGGGAATCGAACCCGGGTCAGCCGGGTGAAAGGCAAACACCCTACCCGCTGTGCTATCGCTCCAGCCCCCAGAAACAATTTTAAATGTGCTTCCCAGAGGTGAAATACAAGACAAGAGATACATTTCTCTCTGGCTAAACTAAAGAGAAAATAGTATCTTCCTTAGTCTGGACATTATGCTTTAATTAGCATGACTGAAGGTCAAATTGGCGCGAATATGAACCAAATCATTTTGTAAGATCTTATTGACTTTTCTATCCATTGAGATTCTCAGCACTTTTTCATATGATTTGTTACAGTAATAAAGCAAATAATGTATTTAGAATAGGGATTCAGGACTTCACAAATCTGTAAAACTTTTTATATCCAATTTATTATATAATCCTCCCACTCTGAATAATTGATGAACTTGATTTTTACATTTTCATTAGTTGATTAAAAAAGTGCAACCAAAGGCCAATTCTTCTTGGGATGATGCCACGATTAGTCATCTATCTCTGGAAGCACATATTCAACCACAATTAAACCTTACATATAACAACCTAGCCCAAATTTTCATCTTGATGACAAGAAACTGGAAAATATCTTGTAGGAATCCAACAATCTAACTCTATGATTTGTTAGTCTTATTGCAAATACTTGGTTGGTTTTGTATGTGAGTTTATCAAGAACTCCTCTTTTCTAAGAGCTTAAAATTTTCTGTGCAAATATTTACTTAGAAAATTTGCCTTTTCCCCCTTATACTCAGAGACTAGAACTTTCCAGAATTAATCTGCTGTGTCTTTTGAAAAAAAAAAAATCTTCTCTACTTGCCTGGCCCCACTCCTTTATGTCTCCTCCTATTTCATCAAGGAGTCGTTAATGCTTTCAGCATTCTATCACATAATTAGTCTAGAGTACAGATTATTTTTAAGTGTTATGAGGCTGTTTTATGATCACTACCTACCAACTTTGTCTTAATTATCATTGTTACTTTTTACCTCGACACTCATTCACCATAAAAGAAATAGAATTAGAGTTGCAATTGGGCTGAGTGATAGTACGAGTGATTGAACTGAGCAATAGTACGGCGGGTAGGGTGTTTGCCTTGCAAGCAGTTGACCTGGGTTCGGTCCCTGGCATCCTATATGGTCCCCAGAGCACTGCCAGGAGTAATTCCTAACTGCAGAGCCAGGAATAACCCCTGAGCATCGCTGGATGTGACCCAAAATAAAAAAAACAACAAATTTTTTTTCTTTAAGTAAACTTTCTTTTAAAAAAATAATAAAAAACAAGAGTTACAATTATCAAATATGCCTTAAACATTTGTCATTATTATCCTTATTCCAAGGAGAACATTTGTTTGTTTTTGAGCCACACCTGATGGTATTCAGGACTTACTCCTGATTCTGTGCTCAGGGATCACTCCTGTCTGTGCTCTGGGGACATATGTGAAGCCAGGAATTGAACCCAGGTTAATCACCTGCAAGACAAGTGTCTTACACATTGTACCATCTTCCCAGCAACAGTTTTAAAATATTTTTTCTCAATCTTAATTATTTTAGAATTTGAACTTCCCCATATCATTTTTTTAATGTTGATGCTGTATTATGGGCCATAACCAACATGCTGGGGTAGGAAGCTACTCAAGCCTCAGTGCTCAGACACTGCTCCCAGCAGGACACAGAGAGCCAGGTGGTGCCAGGCATTTAGGTGAATTCTACAATTTGTCTATTATAGTGGTATGATGAACACATCTGTGCAAATACTCATTCAAATTAATGTTTCCACGTTTGTTAGAAAAATGCAGGATCATATTACAGGATCATCTAGCATCACCATCTTAATTTCTCCTACAGAACAAACGCCCATCCCATTTTCTCAGAGGCAATACCCATTTAAATTCTCACTGACAGCAACCCATGGTCCCTTTTTCTCTATATCATACCAACATTTGTTGCTTCCAATCTTTCCAATATAGGCCATTCTCAACAGCAGCCCTTTATTTCATTTTGACCCAAATAGAGAAAGTAAGAAAAGATATTTCAATGTGTCTCTGTCAATTTTCTGTTAATGACATTTTTGCCTATATATCCATAGCTCCTGTTTTGCGCTCTTTTATAATGCTCAGTGTAATTTAGAGGCTTTGAATTTGTGGGGTGCATAGCTATCTGCCTTTTCTAATAATACTCATCTGGAAGGCAGAATAATAAATTCCTCCCTCGTTTTTTCTATTCTTCACATCCCCAAACTCAAAGGTACGACAAATGGTTATTTCACAAAAATATTACTCTCATAGATAGGAAGAGCCTTATTTGACCACATGAAACAAAACCAACTCAAATGACAGCCACCCAAACAACAAAGGTTACTTACCAAGCAATGGACAACACAGACGTTTTTGGGATTCTGTAGTAGCCAGTTATACATATTACGACATACTGCAAAGAGGTTGTGCAGGCTCGGGGCCTGCCGAATGGGCCAGCTGCATTCTGAGACCTGAAGGCACAGTCAAAGGAAAGAAATCCCCTTAATGATTTCTCCAAATGCAAGTATAAGGCCAACAACTTCTGCAAGTATTACTTCTCCTCTTTCAGTATCATCAGGAAAGTTGGGCATAGTGTCCAAGCAAGGAGTCACCAAACTGAGTAACTTTTATTGTGGTTTTGGTTTTCAGGTCACACCCAGTGGTGCTCAGGGCTTACTCCTGGCTCAGTGCTCAGTGATCACTCCTGGTGGGGCTCAGAGGATCATACATCATGTCAGGGAATGAACTGGAACTAGCCACATGCAAGGCAAATGCCTTTCCTACTCTATTATCTCTCTGGCCCTTCCATTAACTTTCTAATTAAAAAATTCTTTCTTGGTTGAGGCATGGAAACATATTTTGAAATACATTTTAAATTCAACTAAATTACATACCTTGGTTTAATTTTTTTTCATTTTGTGAGGTTATACTGAATTCGGTATCAACTAAAAATTGAAAATGTTTGGGGCTGCTTAACTGTAGAATTATTTTATCATTCCCCTACTTTCCCTAATTTTATCCCATATCTCATGATAATATGAAAACAGTGATGAGACAAAAGTTGTACTAAAAATACTTGTTTGGGGCTCTTATTGGTAAGCCCCCCCACGCTCTCTCCTCCCAAAATTTAAGCTTTCTTTTAATAAAGGGATTCACAATTTCAGGGGGATAACCTTAACACAAATATTCAATTAGCACAGTATAAATATTGACTGTGTTACCAAATGTCTGTCTGCTTGTTGCTTATAAGAATCATGTAAGATGGATGTGAACATGGTTCCCACTTTACAGATGAGAAAACAGAGTATCAGAGATTATCTTATCTGAACTCTCACTGATGGCTAGTACTAGCACTTTAACCTACTTCATCTGAGTATAAATCATTGCCACATAGCAGTAAACTGGTCGTGATTATCGGTTTCCTCAAACTACTAGGCCTAAGTTAAAATTGATTAGCTATTTAGTAATTTAATTAAAAAAAAGAAGCCTACCAGGCAAACTTTGCTACTTCTTTAAGCCTTTCCTCCTTCGTAGAATATGGAGAATGGTCTCTATCTACCCAAGAGAACATGGTAATTACAAGAGAATAAGGTCAAGAGCTAAGTTAATAACTGACACAGATAACGTGATACAAATGTTTGATATTATTCTTTTTATCAGGTGACTGCCACTTTTTATCTGGTCAGACAGAGCTAACTATATTGGCAGGGAAGAGGGAGGGGTCAATGAATGAAATCCTGCATGGTAAGAGTATAGATGGATGGTTGAATCATTTAAGTCCTAGTTGTTGGAAGGCATAAGACAAGAGTGAGTCTTAGATTTTTGTCAAAGAACTGTCAAGATTGAGGATGAATGTAGATGGCTTATGATTAAAACCAAGGAAGTCCAGTAAGGGGTAGTTGTGGGCTGGATTAGATAAGTGGAAGTAGATACAAAAAGATGATGGATTCAGGGGTCAGAACAATAGTGCACTGGTTAGGGCGCCTGCCTTGCATTCAGCCAACCCAGGTTCGATCCCCAGCATCCCATGTGGACCCCTAGTATGGCTAGGAATACATTCATGAGTGCAGGCCAGGAGTGACCCCTGAGCACCACTGGGTGTGCTGCCCCTCTCCAAAAAAAATATGAGGGGATCAAAAAATAGAGAGGAAGTAAAATATTGGCAAACAAAACTCAGTGATCGATCACAGGACGGTGAGGAGAGCGAGCAGAGGCACCTAGTTGAGAGAGCCAGATGGATGGCTCAAGTTTCCAGCTGGAGGAAAGAGAAGGAGATGGTACTAGCCGCTGAAGCAGGAAATTCTCCAGCACAGGTTTTAGGTAGATGGAGAGCGTCACGAACGCCAACACTACTGGCTCCAGAGACCTCTAAAATCCTAATGGCTAACAGTAGACATAAAGGTAAGAGCAGTTGGTTTTGTTCACCCTTTTAGGTACCCAGATAGTAAGTAGTTAAAATATAAACAGGAAGTGCCATAATATCTCTGAAGAACGGCTAGAAGCAAAGGCCAGGAATTTCTCTGAATGCCAAGAAAGGCCATTTTTTTGGGCTGGTTTGTAATTTTTTTTTTTTTAACAAGATGATTGTGAGGTAGTAACCGGGATCCTTCCAAGTTAGGCATTTCCCTATGCCTTTGGGAATTACAGAGGTGCTCTGCTAAGCTGGGACGCCTCCCTCACTTCTAAGCAATCCCGGTGACCTGCAAGTGGGCTCCTGTCGAGTCAAACTCCCTCACAGCTTACCTTTTATCTCAATATGATCCAGAACTGCTCCTATTCCCCACCCCCACATAAATTCATCATTTCCAAGGAAGCAAAGTGATATATTGATTTTTTTCAAGTAATCAGGAAGATAAATTTTGCTATCAGAGAAATTACAAAATCTATACTTGTACAAAATTAAAAATTCTATACTGCTGCCTATCTGTAATCTTCTTCCCCCTCCCTGATCCCTCGGGTAAATTCCTATTTGCTCTTTAAAATCTAAGTGTGAGGGCTGGAGCGATAGCACAGTGGGTAGGGCGATTGCCTTGCACGTGGCCAACCCGTGTTCGATTCACAGCATCCCACATGGTCCCTGAGCACCGCCAGGAGTAATTCCTGAGTGCAGAGCCAGGAGTAACCCCTGTGCATCGCCGGGTGTGACCCAAAAAGCAAAAATAAAATAAAATAAAATCCAAGTGTGGGGGCCAGAGAGATAGCACATTAGGGAGGGCGTTTGCCTTGCACGTGGCCAACCTGAGTTTGATCCCCTGGATCCCATATGGTTCACCCATGTACCGCCAGGAGTAATGCCTGAGTGCAGAGCCAAGAATAACCCCTGAGCACTGCCGGGTGTAACCCCCAGCCCTAAATAAATAAATAAATAAATAAATAAAATCCAAATGTGCTCTTGATTCTAACACCCAGGGAAGAAATACTCAGTTTACTTTGTCATCCTTATACGCATACCTTTGCTTATTTTCATCCTTTTCCATCCATTACCGCTTTCGTGGAGAGGAACGTGGTAAGCCCACCGGCTGGGTCTTATTAACCCCAGGCAAGTGATGAACCTCTCCCAGCCTCCATTTCCTTATGTGTAAAGTGAGAACAGGTAGGAGAGGAGCGTTGTGAGAATTCCTCACAGCATGAGTGTGGTCAGAACTGCTGAGCTAGGTTCAAATGAACTGCCTGGGCCTGTCTCCCACCGCAGATGCTAAACTTAGACAGAAGACAGACCTTGAGTGGTTTATGCACCTGAAGTTCAGGTTCCATCTGAGGATCAGGAGCTCAGGAGGGTATTTGCTGAATGAATCCAGAAGAGCAAGGAAAAATGAAGCACCTTCACTTAAGCCAGTCTTCTCAGACCAAGATCTGCTTCCATGTGCATTATTTGACAGGAGGGACCAAGTGAATTCAGTTTTGTTTTGCCTACGCCCTTGAAACCATGAAGAAGTGTGGGGAATCTGCTTTCCTAGGCAGTATATTTAAACTATGTAGAACCTGATGTCACCCATACCAATGCTCAACGTCAGTTATTTGTTATGAGTATCAGCTAAAAGTTGCCTAAACTGTGTTTAGCACAATACACTAATAGCTCCAGAAGCATTAAGTCAATCAAGGAAATAATATTAATTTAAAGAACTCCGTAATTACATATTTACTTGATATCTAATTAGGCACCATTAGCAAAGATACCATTAGAATTTTGTTTTTGAAGCCTGTGCTCCTGTCTAAAGGAGCAAAAACATATAAACATTAAGGCAAACACAAGAGCAAAGTAAAATTTTAAAAGGAGATTTAATCACTGCAGGCTATTTTTATACCTCTCTGGGGCTTGCGGCTTCGTATTATCGGAGGCACAATCTTCAAGCCCCTCCCCCATGCTGGCTTCAGTCTCTGGAACCTGCCAGCACCCACTGAGCACTGGAGGTGATAAGGGAGGGGAGGCCATATGGATCTAAGATTGCCTTGATAATGCCCAGCAGGAGGAGAGGTCAAGACAGGGAGTAAAGAAAGGTAAGTAAGAGGTCAAGACAGGGAATAAAGGAAGGTAAGTAAGGATGGGAGGTGCAAGGTAGAGGGAAGACTTAGGAGACATTTCCAGTGTTTTAAGTAGCACTGTAGCACTGTCCTCCCGCCGTTCATCGATTTGCTCGAGCGGGCCCAGTAACGTCTTCATTGTGAGACTTGTTGTTACTGTGTTTGGCATATCAAATACGTCACAGGTAGCTTGCCAGGCTTTGCCATGCGGGCGAGATACTCTTGGTAACTTGCCGGGCTCTCTGAGGGGGCAGAGGAATCGAAATAGGGTGGGCCAGGTGGGTCGCGTGCAAGGCAGATGCCCTACCACTGTGCTATCACTCCAGCCACTGGAGTGTTCTAACAATCTGCCACTATTTGGAGGAGGTTCAGGCTATTTCAAGCAATCATTTACTATGGCATTATATTATTATCAATGTCAGAGTAAGTTACAGCCACCACTTACTGAGATTCTAGTCTATTGGAAGCTATCAATTTTCCACCCACAGAAAATTTTGGAGATGATTTTTGGAGGAGCGCTTATTTTCTAATTCCTACTTTGCATAAGAAAAAAACTGAGTTTCAGATAAGGTGAACTGACTTTCCCATGAGGAGAAATAGCTGAGAGGTGAGCCTGGGTGATTTTTTTAAAGTTGAAAATTGGTGTACTATGATAGAAAGTTTTATCCACCATTTTTGTTGAGTTTTGAGGGCCACACCCGGCAGTGCTCAGGGCTGATCCCAGCTCTATGCTCGGAGCGTCACTCCTGGTGGTGTCAGGGATCAAACAAAAGCATGCACTCAAGTCCTTTTTAGATTATCTCTCCAGCCCTCAATTTTCCTTCACAAAAAAAAAAATCAGCCTAATACTTTATCACACTGTCTGATGATTGGTTACTGCTCTCATTCCAGTTACAATTGTGGGGTTGGTTGTGTCTTCACAGGGTGGCTATGTTGGGCCATGATTAAGAAACTAAACTCAATTCACAGAAGGCTGCAGAACTAGAAATGAGTCTTGCCATTCTTGTGGAATCCAAGCCAGAAGTGGGGTCCCTCCCCCAATTTCTCTTGCCCTTACTCTCAACATGGTACACAGGGTCAGAAGAAAAGTAAACTGTAAATTCTCTGCTCTTTGGCCAATCCCCCTCACTGGTCAGAAAAGGAAAGCAGAAGCCCCTAAAACTGTTGGACCCCCTTTGGATGAGCTCTGGGAGGCAAGGGAAGAATGGATCTCCTTTAAGAAGCCCGAGAGATCATACATTTTCCAAGCATCAAGTTGTAGCCAAAGGGTCAAAGGGGAAGAGGTCTTCTAAGATTGTGTGGTCCTCGTTCCTGTTTCCCATCCCCCGCAGCTTCTCTCAGTGTCTGTATTGCAAACTATAATGCCCAAAAGTAGAGAGAGAGTATGGAGAATATTGTCTGCCATGGAGGCGGGGGAAGGGGGGTATACGGGGAGACTGGTGGTGGGGAATGTGCATTGGTGGAGGGATGGGTGTTTGATCATTGTGTGATTGTAACCCAAACATGAAAACTTGTAACTCTCTCATGGTGATTCAATAAAATTAAAAAAAAAAAAACTGTGTGGTCCTGAAACAATAAAAATGGAAGCAAGAACCAGCTGCCTTTGGTCTTCCTCTGCTACAAAGTGGGATGCTTCCACAGACTTCCCTTCCCTGATGGACAGGCAGAGAGGGCGTGGCACCAGGAGAGCATGAAATGGAGTGTGAGAGCTTCTGGGATTGGCTCAGTGTCCTGGATCTTCCTCCTGTTTTCATGACCTGCCAACAGCGCCACCCCTAGTGTGAAAAACAGTGGTTCCCAATGTTCTTGAACAAAGCAATGGTCTTTCTGTGCAGTAACAGAGCCAGTGTAGACATCCATCTACACTGGCCAAGAGCTAGGGAGTGGGGTGATTCAAACGCATGGAGAAGAGAGGAGGATGAAGAGGCGGGCAGAGGCCCCAAAGCCTTCTAAGGCACAGTCCATAGTCCAGAGAAGAAAGAAACCTACTCTTTCCCCAGATGGCGCTCCCAGGGGCTTTGGGTGCCACCCAGACTGTCCATCACTCAGGTTCTGTGGCGAGTATCATACCTCTTCTTGGGTCTTTTCTCCAGTGAGGTCTACCTAAGCATGTCTTAAGAACAAGATTCAAATATTAGGGGCTAGAGCCATAGTACAGAGGGGAGGGCATTTGCCTTGCACACAGCCGACTTGGGTTCGATCCCCAGCACCCCATACGGTTCCCTGTACACTGCCAGGAGTAATTTCTGAGTGCAGAGCCAGGAGTAACCCCTGATCATTGCTGGTGTGACCCAAAAAGAAAAAAATTTAAAAAGAATCAAATATTGGCTGCATGTCTTTGATGTTTAACAATTCTTGCTACTTTTATTCTTCTGAGAGGCATTTGCAAACCATGCCAGGCACTGTTCATGGCAGCAAATAATAAAATCAACATGCTTATTGCTGGCCCCAGCAAGGACGAGCAACCCAGCCAGGGCTGATGCTTAATATTCAGCTCCTGCTCGGCTCGTTCAAACTGGTCACAAAATTCGCAGTTACGCTAATAGATGCCTTTGTTCAGACATCTTTACAGAGATGGCTTTCTAAAGAGGCATCTTCCGACATATGAATACTTGTATAATGATATTAAATCATTTGCTTTACTTTCAAAGGGAAATTTTCCAGACTATCACAGACCTTTTTGTGTCCAAATAAAGCTTTTTATGAAATATTGTGCAGGATGTGCCGCAGGCCTTCGGTTATGAAAAGGACGGCCCTGACCGGGTCACCAACCCAGAGCCAGCCACTCAGATTTTCATCTGAGTTCGAAACGGACTGCCTACCAAGCCACTGGCTCTGAATGAAGTGACAGATGGAATAGGAACTGAAAAGGCAGTTAATGACCGGGCATGTGAAGGAGATGGATTCGAGGAGATGCTTTACAGGCAAGAGATGGTTCAACGGGCAACCTCCAGTGGGAAGAACCTGCCCCCCACCCCCAAAACCATGACTGGAATAGTTCCTGAGAACTGCCAGGTGGGTCCCCCATAAAAACAAAACTAATCTGCAAAGTTGAAAGCAACTTAGATCAAGCTAAGTCATAAAGGCCACTGATCCACTCCCAAGTGAGAGCACTGGGACGCCCACTTGCTTAACCTGGAAACACTCTGAGAAAAGAGGTTTCCTAGCAAAAGTCCCGGGCTTAAGGGCGCATACAGGGAGGCGTCCTGTGCTTTATACGCATCCGCACACTGAGGCCAGAGCTCATCAATGGCACCTGGAGCACAATGTGTTCTGACCTCAAAGCCCAGCACAGACACAGGCCGACAGGGTATACATCCTGCATACTTCAAATCCAGTCACACGTCAAAAGGGTCAAACCTGCAGGAAACCCTTTCTCCTGAATGGCCCAGGTGTCAAGGCAGATGCGATCGTATCAGAAGGCGAGGCTGAAATATTCTAAGATGTTCTTGAGGAGAGAAGACGCTCGATCATGGGGAATAAATCAAGACTTTGGAAGGCAGAAGTACCATGCTCTGGGTCATATTCAAACCTAAGACCAACTCTCTACTCCTTCCTTTGCTGCATAAAAAATGCAGAATCCAATCCATCTTTTTCATAGAACACCATCAGCTCAGGGGAATGGTTGAAAACACAAGGGTCAGAGCACCCAGGACTTAAAATAGTCTGTGGCTGGCTCCCTGGGCTCTTAGAGCCTCTTCCTCCATCTACTCCAGAGGACAGCTGAGAGAATGAAGTGAGGATGTGTGTGCAAAGTTCTCACCACCCAGGGAAATGCACACAAAGTGCTGGCCGCTGTCCTAGCATGATTCTAACGAAACCTGAAGCGTAGACAGTGAACATGTTCATCCTGCCATCTCATATCAGGAAGCTGGTTTCCATTAAACACTGCTATGTCTGTCTGGGTCCAGCCACACAGTGGGTTCCAACGCTGGAGCAGCAGGGGAGGGGTGAAAGGCAGGCATCTCAGAGCCGCCTGCAGCTGGACCCAGCCCCAGCCACTCCGTAACACATCCTCACCACCAAGCAAACCGGCCCTCAAATGCAGGAAATGGAATTCCATGGACCAATTTTCCCACCCGGTGTAAGACCGCAGACCTAGAATCCTTACCCTGCTGTGGAACTTGGCGGTTCGATAGGACTTGGGTGACAGATTATACACCGTGTAGTGGTCAAGGTGTCTGGAATCCAAGAAGCTGCGAATGTCATCCACCTGGTTCCTGAATCCTATGTCAACGGTGTCCAGAGGAAAGGACATCACTGGGGGTGGGAGACACACAGGGGAAAATAAAGCAAGTTAAAGACGTCTGTGGTCTCATGAAGGGCTGTAAGCAAAGGCTGAACTGCGGAGCCACTGCAAAAGCCCCAGAGACTTACCGATAATTCTGGAGGTCACGTAAGTGAAGTCTAAGTCTCCCTTGGTGTAGCTAAAAGCAAGAGGAGAACGGAGACTTGTTAAGAGGATCACAAAATGCCAAGATCTCTCTCTCTCCCCTAGGGGAACAGACAGCACTGACAATAACAAGCACTTGGCCTTGAGCACGAAGCCTATTAACAAACAGTGGGAGGGAGTAGGAAGTGGGATGTGAAGATGGGACCAGAGCGACAAGAGGACAGCGGAGGAGGGTGACGGACAGCTTGGTGGTGGTCAGGAGCACGAACTGGTACAGGAATACTATCAGCTTTCACCCGACTGCAAGCAAATTACCTAAACTATAAATGCTTTAATGTAACAAAAATTTTAAATAAATATCAATTTTTAAAAAAATGAGTCTCAATCACATGCGTATCATGGCCTGGGACATTTCTGTTCGCTCTCTGTTTAGCCCTTTTCTGTCCCAAGATGTCATTGAGAGAAGACAGTCCAGATGCTCAAGAGCATCAATCTGTCCCCCGCGGTGGCTTCTGTGGATGGCGCTTGATGAAGAGAATCAATCTCAGAATCGCAAACACAGCTTCGAATTCAACAGTAATTGCTCCAGCCTCTGGGGCTCTGTGGAAACATTTCCCTTAACCAGCTAAGAAGGACGGAAGAAGTGATGGAGAAAGAACAAAGGATGCTCTTTTATCCACCCTTGGCCCCGGCCAAGGTTCTTTTCCCTTTTGCATTCTAATTTAGTTACCGTGAGATTACGAAGTTATTCACGATTGGGGTTCCGCATACCATGCTTCAGTGCTGATCCCTTCACCAGTGCCGGCATCCCTCCTCCAGTGCTGACCCCTCACCATTTGCTTCCCACCCACCTGTCTGCTTCTGCAAGGGGCACTTTAAAAAATACATATGGGTATTTTCGATCATTGTATAATTGAAACCCAAGAACAAAAATTTGTAAGTCTACAACTGTACCTCATGATGTTTCACTAATACAAATAAAAATAAAAATAAAATGAAATAAAGAGGGGCTGGAGTGACAGCACACAGGTAGGGCGTTTGCCTTGCACGCAGCCAACATGGCTGACCCTGGTTCGATTCCCAGCATCCCATATGGTCCCCCGAGCACTGCCAGGAGTCATTCCTGAGTGCATGAGCCAGGAGTAATCCCTGAGCATCGCCGGGTGTGACCCAAAAAGCAAAAAAAATAAAGTAAAATAAAATAAAGAGACCAAAGGTAGAATGAAAATAAATAAATAAATAAATAAATAAATAACTTTAAAAAATACATATGCGGGGCTGGAGCAATAGCAGAGCAAGTAGGGCAGGTTTAAATTCCCAACATTCCATATGGTCCCCCCAAACACTGCCAGGAGTAATTCCTGAGTGCATGAGCCAGGAGTAACTGCTGTGCATCGCTGGATGGGACCCAAAAAGCAAAAAATAAAAAATAAAATAAAATACACAAATAACAAATATGCTTTTCCATTTGGTTTACAGTATTGTTGCCTACTGGGTCTAGTTGGGTATGATACCTAACACATCACCACCTTTCAACACTCCTTTCTCCCCCTGATTGAGCATTTCCCTCCCCCATCCACACTGCCGACTCCCTTTCCTATCCTCAGCCTCCTGTTTCCTGCTAAATACCAGTTCTCCTGTTCTTCATTTCCATTGTCTTTGAAGACCCCAGCTATGGCTCTTAGATAAGGAAAGTTTTACCTTTGAGCAAAGATTGAAATGCTGCTTCAGGGGGCTGGAGCGCTAGTACAGTGGGTAGGGCATTTGGCTTGCACATGGCCAACCCGGGTTCTATTCCCAGCATCCCATATGGTCCCCTGAGCACCACCAGGAGTAATTCCTGAGTGCAGAGCCAGGAATAACCCCTGTGCATTGCCGGTGTGACCCAAAAAGCAAAATAAAGTAAAATAAAATTCTGCTTCAGGATCTATGGATAATAGTTTCCAGACACGTGCAAGGCCCTGGGTTTGATCCTCTGCATTGCCAGACCCAAGCATTACCAGGAGTGGTCCCAGGCCTCTGCCCTCACAAGCACTTTTTAAAGCTGGTTAACACATCAGACTTGATGTTTGACTGTACGTTAAAACAATGTTATTTAAAGTCAGCCTAGATCTTCTAATATCTAAGAATAAGAAATCATGCACATACCATTTTTATTTTTGCACATGTCAAATTCTTTTTGGTTTTTGGGCCATACCAGCGATCCTCAGAGGTTACTTCTAGTGGTGCTGGGGGGACCATATAGGATGCCAGGAATTGAACCCGGGTTGGCCATGTTCAAGGCAAATGCCCATCCCGCTATACTATCACCCTGGCCCCTAAACAAATTGCAATGAGCTAGAAAACATCTCCCACAAACTAAAATTTAAAAGGCCAATAAAACACAAGCAAAGAGCTAGAGTATAACCTATGAGTATGGCATAGTCAAGCGGCACAAGGCTTACTGGGTCATTCAATTCTCAAGACACCCAAAGCTGCAGATCTGAACCAGGGTCTACTCAGAGTTGGAGGATTCATGCTTCCTGATGTCAAAACTCACCGAAAACTACAATTCATCAAGATAGTACAGTACTAGCACAAGGACACGTTCTCTACAGGGATCAGGGGAGTAGAATCAAAAACCTAGAATGAAATCCTTACATTTGTAGCTAGATGATTTTCAACAAAACTGCCAATAATATTGAGTGGTGGGAAAGAATAACTGTTCATGATGGCTTCTCAGTATCAGTATTGAAACCCATAATGCCCCCAAAGTAGGAAGAGAGTAAAAAGAAAGTTTTATGCTATAGAGGCAGGGTGTGGGGTGGGATGGGAGTGGTAGGAGGGATATTGGGGATATTGGTGGTGGAAAATGTGCACTGGTGGAGGAATGGGTATTTGATTATTATGTGATTGAAGGTAAAGGTAAAGGCCCTCCCGTTGATCGTCGATTTGCTCAAGCGGGCCCAGTAACGTCTCCATTGGAGACTTTGTTGTTACTGTGTTTGTCATATCGAATACTCTCGGTAGCTTGCCGGGCTCTCTGAGAGGGGCGGAGGAATCGAACTCGGGTCGACCATGTTGGCCGCGTGTAAGGCGAACGCCCTACCCGCTGTGCTATCGCTCCAGCCCATGTGATTGAAACTCAATCATGAAAGCTTTGTAACTATATCTCACGGTGATTCAATAAAAAGAAAAAGTAATAACTATTCAACAAGTCATGCTGGAATTGTTTTATATATAAAGGCCAAAAGACAAATGTAGACCCTTAAGCCATATCTTCAACAAGGATTTAGGGTATTTTTTACATATATAAAAGGTAAAGGTAAAGGCCCTCCCGTTGTTCATCGATTTGCTCGAGTGGGCCCAGTAACGTCTCCATTGGAGACTTTGTTGTTAGACTTTGTTGTTACTGTGTTTGGCATATCGAATATGTCACGGGGAGCTTGCCAGGCTCTGCCGTGCAGGCGAGATACTCTCGGGGGCTTGCTGGGCTCTCCGAGAGGGGCGGAGGAATCGAACTCGGGGTTGCCATGTTGGCTGCGTGCAAGGCAAACGCCCTACCGCTGTGCTATCGCTCCAGCCCTATATATATATATGAAAATCACACAAGGCTCAACGTTTAACAACATGTTAGTCATCTCTTATAGAAGGGCTTAACGCCCTGGTGTGAAATACAACAATCTCCACACTCTTTCCTCTAAGGATGCTTTATTGTAGCATTTTCAGTGGCTTTTCATAACAAACAATACAAAATATATTATTATTTCAGTTCTGTTTTGTACCAGGGATTGGGGTTTGGGTTGGAAACATCCAAAATATGGTGGTGGGAAAGTGTAATGGTGGTGAGATTGGTGTTTGAATACAAAATGTAATCAAATATTGTGAGCTATTTTATAAAATAAAAAAAATTTAAATAATAAAAATTTTTTAAAGGTCTTAAAAAAAAAAACAAAGAGTGTAGTTATCAGAGGTGCCCAAGGACAGCACGGAGAGGGTAATTGTCACTTTAGTGGCACTTCTGGGCAGTAACTTTGTACATTAATCCTATAGATTTGAACACCATTATAACTCTATTATCCAGAGCAGTGAAATTCAAAGAGGGTCACTGACTTGCCTGAGCTCAAGTGGTTCGCCTTGGCTGGCTCAGCATCTTAACTCAGGGTATCGATTCCCAAGCCCAAGCCAGCAGTTACCATCCTCCCACCACCACCAAGCCAAGTGCTCCCCACCCACGCTGTGGCTTCGGAGGGACCCCACAGCCAGGCTGCAACAACATGCCTCCCCTCAGCACATCCTGTCTGGCGCTGCCAGCCGGGGGCTGCGGGGGGGTGGGGGGCGCACAAACGGATTTACCTGGACACGGACTGTATAACCCGAGAAGACGTGTCTTTGAGTGTGTCTTTCAGGTTGTCCTTGAGGTTACTGAAGAGCCTCCCGGCCCCTCCTTTCACCATGTCGAAGAGACCACCCGCGTAGCTGGGCTCCATGTCGGGAGACGAGGCACCTGCACAAAGAGCAGAGAAGGAAAACCATGGGCTGCCAGCAACCATCTCCTCTCCCTCCCATCACTCACACAGACCCTCTTCCCAGATCCGGGGGAGACTGAGGCAGAGAGCCCTAAAATGATGTCCGTGTCCCCCCCACCCCGCCCTGCTCAGAATTGGGGGATCCCAGTTTACGGCGGTGCTGCTGGTGCTCACAGACCAAGCCTGTCCCTCACACAGTGCCAGGAACGCAGACCAACTTGCAGAGACTTAGTATGAAGAAGGGGGAAAAAATGAAACAAAAGAGGTCTTGTTAATATAGTTTCCGTTGACTCCATCTTCAAATGGTAATATTTTGCGGGCAAAGGATTGAATTTGAGAACATCAAAGAACATGAAACATGAGAACATGAAACTATTTTTACGTAGTCCTTTTCGCTTTTCTCTTTTGAAAACCTTTATTGTTTCATTCATCACTTTGTTTTGTTTTTCGGGGATGCCAGGGATGGAATCCGGGTTGGCTGCGTGCAAGGCACTTACTAAGTGCTTTTCCACCGTGCTATCTCTTCACTCCACTCTGCTTTTCACTTTTTAAAGTGTAGATACCAGATATTTTAGGTTTTTAATTTTTTTTAACACGCCCAATAATGCTCAGGGCTTACTCCTGGCTCTGCACTCAGGAATCACTCCTGACATCCTCAGTGGACCATACGGGATCCCAGGGATTGAACCTGAGTTCGCCACATGCAAGGCAAACAAATGCCTTACCTGCTGGACTATCTCTCCCACCAGACATCTTTAAATGGCCCATGTGGGCATTGTTGCTCTTAAGAGATGGTCAGTGAAGAGCAGAAGCCAATTTAGCAGAAATCCAGGACTTCCCCTGCCTTCGATGCTGTGGGCTGCATTAGAAGAACTATCATTTCTTCATGCAACAGTTTGCTTTCACCATAAGAAAGATTCTTATGATGGGCCTTTATCATGGTATTAGTCCTGAGGATGCAGGGTGGTCATCAGTATTATTTGCCAAATATTTCAAGTTTCATAAAACTGAAATTTTCTGGCTTCTCATGGTTAGTTCTACTCAACGTTCACAATATTGACATTTTGAGCCAAATACTTCTTTGGCTTGTGGGGGCTGGGGGAGCTGAGGAAGGGGGTTGCTCTCCCCTTGAGAGGTTGTGAGACACGTCAATTTGCCTCAATGCACGTTACAGACACCAAAAATGACTCTAGATACCAGCAAATATCCCCGGGGAGCAAAAGGAGCCCTGGCTGATGAGCAGCACCCTGAGTGATGATGGGCAGAGAACTGTTCATTGACTCAGCAAGACTTTCCACACTTCCTCTTCTCAGATGTACTCCCTTCCACCCCTGTGTGTGTCTGATCATCAAATGTGTGTATATTAAGCTTGTACACTTGTTAAATGATACGGTATTTATATATATGATATTTGTTAATAAATCAAATGGATGCACTATATCAATTATACCTCAACAAAACTAAAACCTGCCTAAGATGGAAAATTGGTGGAGGAAATCTATAAATTAAAATATCATAAAAGGCCAGAGAGATAGTACAGTGGGTAAGACGCTTGCTCTGCATGCAGCCAACCCAGGTTCTATCTCCAGCTCCTGGGGCCCCACCAGAAGTAATTCCTGAGCACAGAGGAAGGAGGCAGAGGTAAGCCCTGAGCACTGCTCCAAAAAAATGTTTAAAAAGATGAATCAGTGAAGTCAATCTATAGTTCCTACTTGGAGTTTATTCAAAGTATTTTTTAAAAATCATGATGTGGGGGCTGGAGCAATAGCACAGTGGGTAGGGCATTTGCCTTGCATGTGGCCAACCCTAGTTCGATTCCCAGCATCCCATATGGTCCCCTGAGCACCACCAGGAGTAATTCCTTAGTGCAGAGCTAGGAATAACCCCCGTGTATCGCCGGGTGTGACCCAAAAAGCGGGAAAAAAAATCATGATGCTTATGGGGGCAATTAGAATGCAAGCATTTACTTCTCATGTTCATTGGGCAGGTGACTGTTCATTAAATCCTACTGCAGGGACCTACATGCATGAGCACCTAAGTCAATAACAAGCATCAATCTGAAAATGAGGCTCTATTCAAAACGGCAAATACCCACTGCTGGAGGATAAACCAAAGGACAGACACAGGGACGAACATCAAGGTCTACCCTGACTGGCTCCTGCAGTGCACTCAAGACTCCACCTTCCTGTCAGCTCACCCATGCCGACAGGAAGTAGGCCTGGCACCCTCAATTCATAAACAAGGAAATGGAGATACAGAGAAGGGAGGCAGCTCTCGAGTGGGTGAACCAAAAATCCAAACACAGACGGGCACAACACCAAAGCTTGTGCTGTTCCTCCTCCCTGTCACACACACTTCTCTACAGCTTCCTCCAGCCTTCTGGTCTAGTGGCTGTAATCAGAGGGGCTCTCAGCCCTGCTTGCACACACTTACTGCTCTCCTGCTCAGTTCTCTCTCTCTCTCTCTCTCTCTCTCTCTCTCTCTCTCTCTCTCTCTCTCTCACACACACACACACACACACACACACATACACACACACTCCTTTCATCTGGCTGCTCTTGACACTGTGTCCACACCACAAACACTCTCATCGATCACCGTCTCCTTCAGAACTACCAATACGAAGGCAGACAAGTATGTGTGATGGACTTGTCGCCCACCAAGCCCATCACACACACTCCCACACCCTTCCACACCCCTGAACACAATGCCAGGATCTGGTGTAGAGGGCAGCTCCACAGACCAGGTGAGAGCTACAGACCAGAGTGCATTCTCTTGGATTCGGGGTCCCTAGGACATAGAGCCCAAGATTCTCCTTTAACTACAACCCACACCCGGAACACTGTATGACTAAAACCCAACTCTGAACTGTGTATCTCTTGGTGAGTCGATAAAACAACAACCAAAAAAAGCGGGGGGGGGGGGGGGGGGGAGGGAACAGGAAGGGTGAAGGGAAGGGGAAAAAGAAAGAAAATAAAGGGGGAAATGGGGGGAAAATAATAAATACAATCCACATAAAAAAACCCGCACCATCTTTCCAAAGCTAGAGCAGCGCCAACTAGGTAATTTCTCTATCTCCATCCCAACCTCAACAGCCTTGAGATACACTACAACTCTAGGAAGGATCTAATGGATTCCCCCCCCCCCCCCCCCCGCCTCCACACACACACACACACACACACACACCAGAACTCTCTGATCCTCAGGTTCCTGCCAGAACAGAACTCAAGAGGTGCTGACCAAGTAAAAGACGTAAATATCACAACTGTCAAACACTCAGACTGGCCCAATACCACTTGTGGTGTGCTCTGTTCATGAAGGCCAGAGGCCCCGGAGGAAAGCAGAGTCGCTTGTCGAAGCCCAACTATCACTTCCAGGTCACATCAGACCAGCAAGGATTCAGGCCGAGGACAGGGATGGACACTGCTCTGCCAGTTCTCTCAGAACTTTCCAGTTCTCCCTGAAGAGTGTCGTGGGTGTACCAGAAGAAGTGTCAATACTCCAAAGGCCATTTGAGCCTCATCTAGCTAAGGAAGGGAGAGGAGAAGTTTCCAGAGAGGATGCAGCAAAGAGGGAGAGAGCACAGTCAGAGCGACTGGCAGAAGATGAACAAGGATCAACAGCAGGAGTCAAGAAACTAGGATGCAGCTGGGACTACAGGAGAGTGCGAAGGGCACTTGCCTTACACACAGCCGACCCATGTTCAAGTCTCGGCACCGTATGTGGTCTCCGGAGCACTGCCAGAAGTTAGCCCTGAGCACAGAGCCAAGAGTAAGCCATGAGCACCACTGGGTATGGTCCCCAAAATCCAAAAAGGCAAAAGGAAGAAAGAAACCAGGATCCATGGGTCCAATCCAATCCACAGTTAGTTCATTTTGGTAACCCCTAGATGGGCTGGTATCCCCACTTTGGGAAACATTGAAGCAGAACATTGCTCCCAGGGCATCAGCCCCACTGGGACACTGACAGGTTCTTGTGTGCACATTTGAGTCTTCAGGTGGCCCCCTTACCTGGGGTCCCCTCCTGCATGGGACAGCTGGCCAAGCAAAGGAAAGGGGAGGGGGCTCCCTAGCAAGTCTCGCTGGCTTCGTTATGCTTCAATAATCCTGACAAGGCTGGCTGGGCCACACTGTAAATCAAGATCATGGAAATCCTTAAACAAAAACAAGATTAATGACATGACCTTAATCCTGACACGAGGGCCAATTAATTGGAAATCGTAGGCTTAACTCTGAGCATTGACAGTGCCAGCAGCTCAATGGCATTTTCTGACACCCGCTTTTCGTCCCCATGAAAAGAACAGAAATGTACTCAGAAGAACTTAGAGGAGCAACGGGTGAGAACAAAAGAACGACGAGGACCTGGTATCTCACTACCCCAACGCGCTGGAATCAACAGCCTGCGATGGAGGAACAGCCGCATCACCTCAGTTCCTTCCATGGCCTCCTTCATGCCCTACCCCGGAAGAGATGGCACAGCAGTTAGAGCATACACCTGGCATGCACCCAGCCCGGGATTGATGCCCCACACCAGGTGCAGCCCTGGAGATCCCAGCACTGCTAGGACAGCCCTGGTATATTCCTGGAACTGCACCAGCCTCGTCGTCTTGGTCTCTGATATTGAACCAATGGCCGAGTTGGCCAAGAACTACTATTGGGGCTCCCAGACCTTCTGAGCACCACTTGGGAAAACCTTCCCTCTTAAAAATAAAGGGATGAGTGCCACAGCTCTCGACCTCTTCTCATCTCCATCATTTATTTGCATGTTCATCTGTGTGCATATATAGAAATGTTTACACATAGGGGAGTGTAAAAGAGATCAAAAGGAAGCCAGCATGGACACCAGACCTCTACTGCCCTCCTCTCTCTTTGTATGGAACCAGGAGCAAGAAGGGGCACCAAAGAATAGCTGCAGATAGATGGTAGAAACTACAAGTGGCAGAGGCCAAGGGCTGTACAACCCAAACCACTCTCAGCTT